GAGGAATTATTGGAGTCTTTAAAGGGATCATCTGATTGCCGTTTCAGTGATTGCTTTAATAACTTTGTCCCCTCATTTCCATTCATTCATTAATCTTGTGTTCTTAGGGATCAGCATTTCCCCGTGCAGCACACAGCGTTGTTGCATATGAAAAACTTTGAAAATGGCTTGACAAACGACAATTAATTTCATCGTGCCTCTACGTTGCAAGCGAGGGGAAGTAGAACACATTAAAACTAAATGCTGAATCAGTCAGTCCATCAGCAGAAATAGTTCTAGACAGTTTCAACCCACAGAAACCATAAGCAAAGCAAACTCGAAACTGAAACAGAAATGAAAACAGAAATGGAAATGGAAATAGAAACAGAAAACCAAACAACAAAATGAAAGCACACACACAGGCATAGACTGAGGAAGAGTACACAAAGCACTAGCGGATGGCAAATAGACAAACAAGAGATGGCATGTGCCAAATGGACAGGAATTTATAAATTAAAGCAAAACAATGGCCGAAGATTAACAACAGTTACTGCCCCACTCACTCGCACTCGAACAGCGCATAAAGCTCACATTTCAGCGGTTCGGTTTTATTCTCTACTGTTTTGTAATAAAATTCCGGAGAATCGTGGGCCAAATGTCTGATGGCTACGCTGCCGTTCCACAGTCACAGCCACGGCGCTCTTTTGACGGGCGCCTACTCCGAAGTGTGTGAATATGACGGCCGCAAGAGCAAAGGCAAAAGCAAAAACAAACACGTTACGAGTGTGTGTGTGTGCGATTCGGTTTAATGCCATAACGGAAATGGATGCCATGTCGGTTGTTTGAGGAAATGTTCGTCTAGCTGTAACGGCAACAGCAAACGCTGCAAATATGTACATATGTTGGTGCCGTACCGTGCCGCCATATTACTCCGCTTTTAACGGCACCTCTTGGTCTACACTTTGCATGTGTGGGCTATTAGTTTTCCGTGTGTTTGTTTTTCAAAATACTCCAGCATCAAACCTTAGATTGAAGGAAAAGAAGAGCCTTAGTCGGGTAAAGATAAAATAGGACCCAACATGTATTTCCATTTCATAAAATATCAGAAACTTTTTCGTTTGCTTCTAGTAAATCTATGAAAGCTTGTTAGTTGGCCTTAATAACGGAACAATGTAAGCTAATTTTAATAGACAATTATCGGCTAGGGTAACCTGTAAAAATGTAAGAAGCATAGAGCAAAGAATCAAAGTAGTACTAAGCGCAAAATACCATCAGAAAATAAAACGAGAAGGGACGTGTAAGACGCTACTTACGCGTCACAACTTTTATACCCGGTACTCAGTACAACATCAGTATCTTAGTGGTTTTTTTTTTTCAAATTTTTTCTACATCTGTCATCTACATCTACATCTACATAGCTTCTCACGCCAACTCGCCCTTTTATCCCGCACCCCTCCCCAAGAGCCGTCCACTGCAAAGGTACTGCCGAGGCAGAGGCCGCACAGTGCAGAAGCAGAGTGTGGATGAGAGAATGTGCAAAAAATAAGAAAACTGCTGGAAGGGGTGGGCGCAGCCACTGAAAATGAATTCAGCTTGGGCGCAACCACTGAAAATGAATTTCTTCATTCTGGCAATAATAATAATCCAATCGGATCTGATAGATATGATCAATTTTTTTTATCTTCAAACTGTGGATACCGCAGATTTTCGCGATTTGCGCGGGCGGAAGGGGTCGGGGCGAAATTTTAAAATACACTTGTAGCAGTGAGAGCATACAGCCATCTGGATGCAAAATTTGGGGGCTCTAGCTTTTATAGTATCTGAGAACCGGGCGCTCAACAAGACGGACATGGCTAAATCGACTGTTCTATTGATGCTGATCCAGAATATGATCGGGGTCGGAAACGGCGGAGTAACACAACATAAGTGGAAGCAGAGCAGCAGATCGTAGATGGAGTCGAATAAGAGTCAGTGTCCGTAGCCTTGTAACTCTGCAATTCAAACGATTTACTGATGGCCTAACATCGATTACATCCTCCTCCTCGTCCCGTTCCCCATTGTTATTTGCAGACTTCAAATGACAATTGTAGGCTCTCAATGGCTGATATTGTGGCCACAGCGACATCCTCCCTCCCAGTGTTGGGATACTGGACCATCCCGTGGCATCGGTGTCTACGTGTGCGTGTGTGCGAGCATTTCTCGCACTCACTATTCATATGCGGACCGACACATTCATATGAATACTAGGATGTGTCTGTGTCGGCTGCTGCTGGTTTTGTTTGTTTGCTTGTTTGCTGAATGGGTGGGCGTGTTGCGTAAATGAATGATCCTAGTTGAGGCTAAGTCGGGGCCAGGGTGAGGGCAGGACACAGACTCAACATGACTCAAGTCTGGCCACACCACGTCGAGTGGCACGCATGGTTGCGGGTGCACTTGCCATGTGTCGAGTGAGTGTTTGCCACCGCCTCGCCTGAGTGCTGAGTGTGCTCGCCATGCATGCGTATGAGTAACGAGCGCGCAGTTCCACAGCAGCCGCGCCAGTGGAAGCTTCAGAGTCAGCGGTTACGCTGCTAGCAGCAGCATACACAACACTGCTGTTTAAGAGGTTGATGTATTACAAAATACGTATACGCCACGCCACGTCACCACAGCAGCAGCCCACAATTTACAATACCAAGTGTCGGCTAGAGTCGGTCTCTCTCACTTTCACACTCGCTCTTTCTCCCTCCCTCTCTCTCTCTCTCTCTTTCTCTGTCTTTAATTGTGTATGCAACTAATGTATACGCGTTTGTGTGTGTGGGAATATACATACATGTATACCTATTCATTTTTGAAATAAAAAAGGTATGATGGATTGTATTGGCGCAACCCTTAATAAAATATATATATTTACATATATATTCTCAGCATCAGTGAACTGCATTGGGTTTGATCCAAGTGAAGCCAAGTAACTTGTATTAAATGTGTGCTTGATTTGACAACCAAATCGTTTTTAATGACGAGAACATCTGATATATAGAGTTATGGAAGATAGGAAGTAAGCAGCTTATGCTACATTTAGACATATTTATTTATGTACATTATCCACCGATATACCAAAATTCTTTGAAATCCTATACCATTACGGACAGAATAAAAATGTGTCATTTGTGTTGTCATATGTCCCAAGTTCAGGGTATTTTATAGTCGAAAGTGACTCTTCCTTGTTAAATAGCATGTGAACATGTGCCAACTGGGCCCTGTGCTTTTGTCTTGCTTTTTATTATATTAATAAACATTTAATTGGCATATTCTATGGGGCATACGACAGGAGGTTTTCCCCTTTCACTCGTTTCGTTGCCAGTCCTGCAGCAGGCAGACCTTCTCCGGGGCCATAGTGCCCTCGCACCCCGCGATCTCTCTATTGAATTGCCGTAAGTGGCCATTTATTTACATATTTGCGTTGAGTGGCACACTTCAAAGTTGCCTCGTTTGTCGATGATGCTGCTGCTGCTGCTGCTGTTGTTGTCGCTACTTTATGGTTATTATTTTGCCATAGAACCTGCCACTGCCACTGCTGCTGCTGTTGCTACTGCTGATGATGGCACTGGCACTGCCACTGCCACTTTTGTTGATATTGTTACTGGGAACTTTGCGTCATTTCGTGCAATTTACGAGTTTATTGAACAGCCAGAGACTGCCAGAAGGGGCCTCCTCCCTCCCATTCAGGAATGTGTTTGGAGTGTGTCTGCTGTGCCACTTTAATTGCCACTTCTCGGCGCATGTCATCAGCTGTTTGGATTCGTTTGCTGATGATGTTAATATTAATTGCTCGAAGCATTCCAAGCCTTGATGCTAAATGCAGTCAATAGTCTCGCATCCCTGTATATTGGAGCATTCATTGCCTCCTTGCCGCTATAATTGCAACACGATTTGCATAAACATTTCGAGCCGCGGCATCTCCCCAGGAGTCTGGGAGCGGAGCCCTTTAATGGGACGGCATGTGGCTAATTAACGAAAATGGGGAACATGGATGAGGCTATGCTGAGGAGCAGGAGGAGGCTCTACCGGGTTACTGTGTCTCTGTATCCCGTGCCGTGCCGTGCTGTTTGCTAGTTTGTTGCCATCCGACGCTTCTGTTTGCCCACGATAACAGCTTCGTTTTACGAGCACTCTCGCATCCACAGTGCATTGCATGGAAGGATTACAGGATTGCAGGCATACAGGGGTGGGGAATACAGTGCGTATGGTTAACTTGATTACTGCCAATTAGCTGGCGGAAGTCTTCCGAAAAGCTGCGAATTAGCGCATTTCAGCGGCGAATTAATCTATGCGCGTAATCTTTTAGTCGGTTTATAGCACGTTATGAATTATGCATAGACTCTTTTCTAAGCTTCGGAATTCGGGTAATTGGTGAATTTATGCATTTGCCGAATGGATCTGAGGGGTGAGAAATTAACTTCGGCCTTCTTAGAGACCATACCCCTGTTCCCCTAGTGCACATATTCGTTGAATATCATAAGCGAACGGCCACATTCAATCGCCAACGATATGGCTCGTTCTGATTGTGAATTCTACATTAAATACATTTTTCGAATATTTGGACGCAAATATCCATCATAAATGCTTCCTAGTGCATTATCAGAAAGTCTATTATTTCGTTAAAGCTTTCTACACTTTCCTTAGTCATAAAAATACGACTGTGTTTAAAATAAAAATAATAATGCCATGAAATGGGCGCCCCATTGAGTGTGTCTCGAGCGGACTCAATGGCCATGCTACATTCAGCAATTGAGAAGAAAATTCGATAATAACGAATAGCCTTAAGAAATCCTTAGAAACTAACTTTTTTTCTCATGAACCGTTTCCGTTCTTGATTCTGATTGTTCCCTGCCCAAACTTTTTGAAAACCTTCCGTCGATGCCAGGGAACCTCCCACCCGCACAAAAGTTCTTAATCAAAATAACTTAATGATTATATTTGCTTGCAACTGCTCACTCCTTTCTTCTTTCTACTCTCCCTCTCTCTCTTTCTCATTGCAGGACCCAATCCAATCCCATCTGACGGGCAACGCCAACGCCAATTTTAACTACTGTTCGTGGCGCCACCAGCGACTAGCGGATAATTGAATCATAAAGAAATCGTGGGTCGGGGGACTCCAAAAAACGGAGAGGAGCCTCCCAAAAGTGTGCGTGCCCCGAAAGTTCGGCAGCGGGAAATGCCAACAAAGCCGAGCAAATAATTGCTCTACCCAGAACGAGGACGGGGTAACGTTCCCTTCTGTTTCGTTCCCTGCCGTTCACTTCTGTTTTGTTCACTGTCCGGGGCGCAGGGAGAGACATTGCACAGAGGCCGGCTGCAGGGAAATGACTGGCGGCGTGCTTTAATTGAAGCTGGGCGCGGAGGAGTGCGCGGGACGTGCACGCAGCACACGGAATGTGGGCTCGGCAATAAAAGGGAAGCAATTGAAACGCAATGTGGCTGATGCCGTGGACCGTGGACAACGCAACAAAGTGGACGAAATTGCTTTTGGAAGAGCGCGAACGCTTGCAGACACGCAGACAGGCAGAGAAATAGAGAGCTAGACATTAATTAATTAATTCTGATTAAAAATCATATTTTAGTAAAGATTCCTGATTCCCGACACACGATACACAGATACACGGAGAAACGACCAACGACTGAGTAACCTACATACACGCAAGTGAACTATTAGCCAAAAAGAACCAAAAACCAAAAACAGCAAACAGAGAACAGAAAAAGGGAGGAGCCTGTACATTCGCGACCAAGTTAAAGTTTTAGAAGAGAGTTGAAACAGAGGCAAGCATTAGAGTAGCAGATATCTTGTGGCAGGGAACTTATCTTTGCATGCCGTAAGCATTGCAGCAGCCACACATGAACACGCCGCTTTGACCGGAGCCAGCAAGGAGGACGGAGTACGGCATAATTTCGTCAACTGCAGCCAAGCGGTCGTCTGTCAGGAGCAGTGGCACTGGCATCAACATCAGCTGCAAAACATTCCCCACCACCACCTCCAGCTGTGGTTTACCATCATCATCATCAGCAGCAGCAAGGGAAGGAGCAACGGGCAAGGAGCAGCATCAGCAGTAGCAGTAGCGAAGGCATTGTCACATCCAGCATACGACATCTAGAATTCAGGAGAAGCCCAGCACGGGAGAAGGTGTAGGAGGAGGCAGAGACCACCCCTAATCCCGCACCAATGAATCTGCTCTGCTGCTGCTGTTGTAGTAACATGGCACCCAACCAGCGCGTCACACGCAAATGGGAACTGTTTGCCGGACGCAATAAATTCTACTGCGATGGATTGCTAATGTCCGCACCACACACAGGCGTCTTCTACTTGACGTGCATCCTGATAACCGGCACCAGTGCGCTCTTCTTTGCGTTCGAGTGAGTATCCAATGGTTCGCTGATTCCCCATTTGGCCCTCTGTGGCATTTCTCGTTTCTGCATCTATTCTGCATCCTCATCTGTCTGTCTATCTGTCTGTCATTCCGTTCGTGGTAGTTGCATTGTTTGCAAAATGTATACGTTGCTAATTAAGCATTGCGCCTGCCCGGTAACCCTTCCTGCAGATAGGGAAACCGGATCCTGCTTGATTTCCAATTACGCCCACATTAATGGTCTCTCACTGGTCTCAGGACGCTTGGACTATTGCTCTGGCTGGGGGGGTTTCATTTCTCGGCGTATCCAATGGCATGTAATTATTGCTGTGAAGCGTGGCGTATGCGTTATGCTTGGCCTGGCAAAGGGCGATGTCAGCATTCCTCCTCCTCCTGCTGCTCCTGCATACTTTTTCAGTGTCTCTCTCTTTCTGTCGACGGAGCATCTGTTGAATTACGGACTTCGTCAAGGACCGCAGAGGACCACAAATAGTTTCAGCTTTTGATTTGTCAATCTGCCTCCTGGTTTTGTGGCATTCAAATGTGTTTCCTCAATGGCAGCAGCCCACAGAAGTGTGTCGTCTCAATGGGAAAGCGGGGCGAGGTTCTATTTGGTACTGCTCAAATTGTAACTTTTATTTGGAATTCAGTGATGCGGCCCACATTTCTTGAGGCCTGACATTTGATGTGTAAATTACTTCGATTAAATTGCAGTAGAATGCGAAAGGATCCCTCTCAGTTTTCTTTTTAATACATTTTTGAGATATATATTAGATGAGTACTAGTATCTCAAGGCTTCACTCACAATAAAACCCCAATTGAATGCTTTCAAATTGGACAGAATTGAGTGAGTGCGACGCCAAATAATAAGGGAACAATGTTCTTGAATTCTGGCTATTAGTACGATTAAATTAGAGGAGAATGGCACAGTTTCACCGTTTAGCTTTTCGCTGCCAATTTGAAACACACAGGGGAAATATTTCGTAGTATTTACCGAATTGTTGTGTGCCACTTTCTGTATTCTTTCAGTGACCATTTATGTTCGTGCTTATATTCCTTCTGTTCGTTGGAGAACCATAAATAGTGTCAATCGAAGCAACGATTCCCAGACAGAATTCTCAAATCCTCAGTATAGATGAACCTGGACTAAGGAGTCACCTTCCTTCCTTCAGAAATTATAAATAAGATGATTATATTCTAAAGCCCAAAGGATTTGTAAATTAAAGTTGTCGACTGTTCCCATTGGTTTACCTTAGCCGTTCTCCATCACGTTGCTCCAATAATAATAATATGATGCCCGATCTATTGGTTTGTACAGAATAAATATTACGTGCGATTACGTGCAAGAGGCGTGTGGTGCACATGTGGGGAGTGGGGGAGGAACGCTTAGCTTGGATTCAATTTAGTTGCAATGCTCCCGTGTCCGTTTGTGTTTCCTGGGTTTTGGCCAAATAACGCATACGGCACGTAGTACAAATACCAATATAACAGGATGTTACAACGGCTGCAAGCTGCAAGCTGCATGCTGCATCCTGCCCCCGCCCGCTCAGTGACGACAGCGCGATTAGACCAAATTATGCTCAATATTTTCTGCACGAAATCCTCTCAGAACACACATACGAAAGGAGGATCCGCATCTGAGAGGAGTGGGTGAGTGCAGTGCTGAACCGCAAAGAAAGAGATTGGAATACCCCGGCCACAATCTCTCTCTCTCACATCTCTATTTTTTCCCCTGCAATTCAAAATTTATTCGCTGCTAAAAAGTAACCCGCTCTGTGCCTTACCGCACCAAGCCGCTGCGATTTTATTTCCATTGCTTGCTTTGCATTAGCGCACAGTCGAGTGGAAGCGGGACTATGGAGCATGGATGGGCATTACAATATCTGCAATGCCTTTGAGTGCTCGCATAGTTATTCCTGCAGATATTCCCGCGAATCCACATAACATTTTCGCCCCCACCTCCGCATCTATGCACATTTGCAGTAGTCGCAGCATCTCATCCTCTTTCTCATGAACCCGCTCTGGCAGCTGGCGGCAGCCCGGGGATGTGGGCAAACTGAAATTGTGTTTCGCCCGACGCGCTCGCAATGCAAATCGCTAAAAGGTAGCACAATGCCATCCTGCCTCATACATCCTGCCTCCCGCCTACGTGCCTGCTACCCACCCTCCCCTCTTTAGGGCATTGTCAGCGATTTGCCAGCTGAATGCGAGGAAACCATTCTCTGAATGCATTCCTATTTAGCCCGGCTTTGTGGCAGGGGGAATTGCGTTGTCATGACAAATGTATTTAACTATTTTCGGATGGTTCTACTGTCGCTCTGGCTCCGGACTGCATTGAGTGAGTGTCCCCAAAATGATGCTACTGCCCCATCCCAACTGATTCCATTTCGAGAGCCCTGGGACTTGTCACACATAATTGTCACCGTGCTGAGGGTTCGTCCTTTTTGTGGACAGAAGTGAAAGCGGCGACTTTTGCAAATCGTTAGCACGCACTGGGTATTAGGGAACAATACAATGCGTAGGACAGGGTGAGTCTCTTCAGAGACTCGTGCCCCCGTATTTCGGCACATATTTGTAAGGACAACGGGATTTGGGGCATCTCCAAAACACCGGGGACTTTTTGTATGTATCTCTGAGCAGAACAAGATACGCTATAATGCACACCCCGCCTTTGGGACAGTCTCTTAATTCAGACGGGACATGGGAGCCTTGGGAAACAGTTGATGTTGGAGCAAGAACAATTCAATGGACAATTAATTCTAATTCTATAGTTGGTAAGCTAGTTAGTAAGTCTCTTAAATTTCTGTTTAAATTAATAGTATTTGTTTATTTCAAGAGTATATTTTGAGATCTGAATGAAGACTAAGACTAAGAGTAGAAGAATAAGTTGACGAGTCAGTTCAAGGCAACAATTTGGCATGAGATCAAAAGGATGAGAACGATTTAGCGAGAGAGCAGCGTTATGCTCCTGCAGCTCAGGAGTTAGAGATCTGCTTAACGCTACGGTTACTCGATAGATCTAAAAGCCTGACTCGACGCCAGTGTATTTCATTCGTGAACAGAGTCAGCATTCCCGTATACCCCTAAGCTATATTGTATTTGTGATCGAAAGTGGAGGTGCATATGTAACGCACAGAAGGAAACGTTTCCGACCCCAAAAACTATATACATACGAGTATATTCTTGATCAGCATCAATAGCCGAGACGATAGAGCCATGTCAGTCTGTCCGTCTTGTTTGTCGGCTAGTACTTAGAAACTATAAGAGCTAGAGCAACCAAATGTTGCATCTAAAAAGAATGAAAATCTCTCATATCAACAATTTTGAAGTTAAAAGAACACTTTAAACGAAATCCCCGAACTAAGCTCAGATCATTATTATAGCCAGAAAGAAGAAATGCCCCACCGCTTCCAGCAGCTTTGCTTATGCTTGCTTTTGTTGTCATTCGTTTTTATCTACATACTCGTATATGTATCGTACAATAAATCGTTGTTCCTTTACAGCTGCCCGTTCCTGGCGGAGCGCATCAACCCAGTCATTCCCATTGTGGGTGCCGTCCTGTACTTCTTCACGATGAGCTCCCTGCTGCGCACAACCTTCACGGATCCGGGCGTCATACCGCGAGCCTCCAATGATGAGGCAGCCTATATTGAAAAGCAAATTGGTACGTATTCCTGTAGTTGCAGTCCTCCTGTTCGCAGTCAAAGTCGTTGCAAAAGTCCCTCCGAAAGGAAATGTGGCCAAGGTCGGCGGTTACGCCTGTTGCCTGAATACCGCCGCCAGAATCCAGGCGATGTCATGTCCCTCCTTTCAAATAACCCCCGCCCCAACAAACGAACACCATCACAGTCGCACTCACAGTCATACATATATATTTGTTTTCACTTCATTAAGTTTGTGTGTGTGTTGGGTGTTGGGCGGGTGGATGATAGGAGGGCATCGGGGGAAATGTTTGAGCAGTGGCCAGGCCAATGCATTGGTATGCGAGAATCTGCGTGTGTATGTGTGTGTGTTTTTGTGTTTCTGTGTGGCAAGGGGGCACATGAAAAGTAATGAGCGTGCCACGACATAGAAAGGAGGAAAAATAAAGCCCACATGAAAATCATCATCAAAGCGGGCTCTGCCGCTGCCGCTGCCGCCGCTGCGTTGCGCTGCGTTTCTCTCTGCACTAATGAGTCGCTGTTGTTGTTGGCTTTATATAAAATATTTAAAATGAGAAAACTTTTGCTCTCCCTCCCACACCCTCCTTTTGCATGTCAAAAACGCGTTCCCTGTGGACCTCTTGCTGTCGACGCTGATGCTGCATTTCCTCCACACCATTACACGTCTGCGCCGCACATCCGGTTCCGGTTATGCTACTGCTGCTCCTGTTGCTGCTGATGCTCTCTACAGAGGTTCCAAACTCGCTGAACAGCCCCACATACCGACCGCCACCGCGGACCAAGGAGGTGCTCGTGAAGGGCCAGACGGTCAAGCTGAAGTACTGCTTCACCTGCAAGATCTTCCGGCCACCGCGGGCCTCACACTGCAGCCTGTGCGACAACTGTGTGGACCGCTTCGATCATCACTGTCCCTGGGTAAGTCAAGGACCTCGTTAGCACTATAGCCTACCTTTTAATCACGGGCCAACAGTGTCCCTAGTGGCCCGACTGCCTGACATTGAGCCGAGGCCCTCGCATTAGGCTGCTGTGCGCATTCATTGGACGCGCAAATGTGGGACAAAAAAAAAAACAGCCAATGCCTCCTCCCGGCTCCTCCGTCTGTCCGTCCATCCGTCCGTCCGTCCTTATTTCTGTCCGCCCACAGCGAGCGCTGGGCTACAAAGCTCTGTGCCATTGCGGGTCTGACTTTAACCCAATTCCACAGCGCCAACCGCTGAGGTTGCTAATTTTTTAGCAAAAATAATTTCAGCAGAGCGCGCGCATCACGTTTCAAGCTGGAACCTTGTACTCTCTTTCTATATTTCTCTCTCCCTCGTATAAAAAGCTAACCCGGCCACAGGGCCCCTCCGCCTCGTAGTTTTTGTCGCAGGCAGGGCAAAGCGGCTACCCGCAGGCGCCCCAATGATGCAACAAGATGTGCCTGGGCGCGGACCAAGCAAACAGACCACACTCTCACAAACACTAACCCAAGTAGCCGAACAGCACACTCATATTCATAGAGCTGTTTGCATGGGTTGGCGTGTGGCACGCTGATACCCTACACGGAGTGCAATCCATGCGACTGGTATTGCTTTCAGGGCATAAACGAGTATTAATTTACTTAAATGTAACATTGTAAGCGATACAGTTTGGTGTAAACGATCCGAAAACGCTAAAAAAAACTTAATACAATGAAAGTCTCGTCCTCGATAGCTCGTCAAATACTCGCTTGTGAAGCATTTATGAGTTTATATTAACATATTACTCTTTTCAAAGCCCGGTTGCAATAATTTTGCAAACTTGCGCTTGCGGATTGGTTCCGTTTCCAAGTACGTTTACGAACATTTTACGATGGCTAAGTTTTACTGTCGCCGTGTGTATGGTCGTCAGCGTGGTGCTGCTGCCTGTCACCGCTGCACTGCTTGTTTTTGGTCGTTTGGGATAAAGAGAAGATTCTGGATAGTTTTAGTAAAGCAGGAAGTCGGAATTGCTTTTAGTTTATACAAAAAAATTATAAAGGGATGAATAAAAGAGTGTACAGCTCGAAGCCTAGCTCGAAGCAGAGCTCTTCCTTCGTCCGCACCTTTTTATCATTTACTGGCAGGGGCAGAGCGTGTTTTATACCCCCAGAGGAGGACCCTATCATACCGCAGTGGCTGATGCTGATTCTGCTGCTGCGTGCCATCTTGAAGGTCGACTACTGCCTTTTGGGGCTTTGGCAGAAGGCGTTTTCGGGTGGCTCAAAGTACACGATGGGGGTGAGGATAGGGGATGCCTTTTGAAATGAAGGCATTTCTCAGACGATGGCAACAAATTACGAAATTCTGCGGCACACAGGTCTCGTGAAAATGCAATTAACCTTATTATGCCAAGGGCCCGGCTGGGATTGTTAACCAACCGTCTTCATTTTGGTCTTTGCGCCTGTGGTCTTAATGGTCTTTCGTTGCAGGTGGGAAACTGCGTGGGAAAGCGGAACTATCGGTTCTTTTATTTGTTTCTAGTCTCATTGGCATTTTTAGCTGTATTTATATTCTCGTGCTCTGTGACGCATTTAGTTTTATGTGAGTATAGAGTATAGAGTGCTGGAGTCTCCCCAGATCTTTCATTATCCCCATGATCCACCACACACAGTAATGAAAACCGAGCAGGAGGTCTTCGAAGTAATAAAGAAGGCGCCCTTCACTGTGATTGTTGTGTTCATTTGCTTCTTTTCGATATGGTCCGTCATCGGATTGGCGGGATTCCACACCTATCTGACGACTAGCGACCAGACGACCAATGAGGATGTGAGTATGCCAGCGATCCAGGTGATCCAGATCAGACGGACAGTTCTAAGTCATATCTCCCTTCAGCTTAAGGGATCCTTCTCCTCGAAGGGCGGACCGCGCACCCAGAACCCCTACTCACGGGGCAACATCTGCCTCAACTGTTGTCACATCCTATGCGGACCCATGACGCCGTCTATGATTGACAGGTGAGTGATCACACACTCGCTTGAAATCCAAACTAATCGTCTCCCGGCAGGCGCGGCATTGCTACCGACGAGTACATCCAGCAGATGCAGCACCAGTCCAGCCCCCGGCATGCCCTTAGCGATGTGCTGAGCGCTTCTCATATGGTCACCACCGCGCAGCCCATGCTGGGCAGTTCGGGAGGCGGTATAAGCGGGGCTGGTGGCGGCATCAGCATAGGAGGGGCGGATCTAAAGCCCCGCTTCTACGACGAGGTAAGCGACCGCACCAATCCAATCCGATCCGATCCGAGCACCCTCTCACAAAACAATATCTAAATGTCTGGGCACTCTGCTTGCTTGAAATAAATATCCTTATTAAATCTCTCGTACCGATGATCCTTTGTGCACACCATTTTGACGATCTGATCTGTATTTTTCTACTCCTTCTTTTTGTGTTCTATGCAATGTTTCTTTTTGGTAAAAACTACTACTACTCGACCGTCTCACCACTACACACCACCACCACCACCACCACCACCACTACCACTACCTACAACTACAACAACATCAATCAAATCACACTGAAATAACAACAACAAATATATTGACCACCAACTCCAGTCTAATCCCTCCTCCTCGACAATGGACGGATCTGGGGCCGCCGCATCAGCCGCCCTCAACGGCCACGGCCATGGACATGGACACGGACATGGCCATGGCCACGGCAATGGCACCGGCAATGGCAACGGCTTCGAACACCCGCCGCCCAGCTACGACCTGGTCCAGAACGGTAAGTCCCGCAAGCAGCATCAGAGGTGCTCACTGCAAACACTGCTGCCCGCCAGCGCCCAGCACCAGTTCAAAGCCAACAAGCACAAACAACTCAAACACCACCCACAACAACAAGCAAAACCACATCAGCAGCATCAGAAACAGCAACTGGTGGCCGCCGAGCTGCAGATGCACCACGAGGCATTTGCCCGCTCGCACTCGAACCTTCACTCGCCCTCGCTGATGCGCTCGCCGGCCACGTCATCCTCCTACCGGCTGAACCTGAGGCGCTCGCTGCACCTGCCGCTGACGCCGTCGTACGATGATGTGCGAAACTCGCCACTGCCGCTGCTCCACCACCATGTGCACGCCCAACAGACGACTGCCATTGGGAGCGTGTCTGTGGCCACAGCAATGGCTGAGGCAGCGGCGGTGGCAGCCTCTGTGTCGGGAGGCGGTGGCGGTGGCTCATCGTCCTCGACGACGGCACCCACCTCAGGCTCTGCCTCGGCCTCCCTGGCCACGATGCCGCCGCCACTGGCCCCGCGACGACCATCGACGCTGCAGCTTCAGGGCAGTGCAGCGGTGACAGGCAGCAGCACCACGCTGACGACCATACACACAGCGGCACCCCAGCCGCCGGCGCCCAGTGACTTCAAGTACTACTCCCCTCAACGCCACACCGACAACACCTCCAAGTTCAACTACCCGTTTGGAAAATCGGCACGTGGGATGCGCCGCCAGTCGACGCAGTCGGTGGACTCGCAAAAGGTGAACATCGCCGGGTACCAGCCGCTGCCGATGCGGTCCCGCTACAAGCACCAGGAGGTGATGTTCGAGCTTAAGTCGCCGACCAACCGGCTGACCATCCGAGAGTGCGACTTTGGCGGTGGCGGTGAACCCTGCGACGACGATCAGTCGATCAAGGACAGCCAGATCTTCCGTGTTAGTAAACGAAATCTTTATATGAATCACCGGTCGCCGTGGAAGGAGCGCGACCGCTACTCAAACCTCTACGAGTACTCGTTCAACATAGATCTCAACTCGATTATCGAGGATGCCGCGGGCAGCGACTCGTCATAGTACGCAGTTCGCTGCCCCTTTCTTGTCGTTGTCGTTGTCCACCTGCCCCGTGCGGTGCTTGAAGTCGCCCTGGACTTCATTAATTGGTTGTTAGGTGCTGTACATAATAAGCTATGGTCCAGGACCAGGCCCTTGGCCGGCCTCCTACTGCTTCCAGCCCACTGCTAGAGAAAGCTCAGTTTTCTTCTGGCTATTTGGCCATATGCAGGCTGTGCAGGCTTCTTTCTTGGCATTAATTGGCATTCTTCTTTGATGAGAGACGACGAGGGTCTTTAAATTTTGAAGAGGTCTACCCACAGTCAGAATGGGGTACACACATTTGGCTTCCATGACGCGCTTAGATGTTAGGATGAGATTAAAGTCTTCGGTTTGCAGCCCCCTAATCTTGTTTTTGAGTTTCCTCCCGTTGTATGCGTAGACATAGAAGTATGTAAATTGCTAAATTGTATCTTATTATTTTGTTCATGTCCGACCTCCGATATCCGCTGTAGAACCCCCAGCCCCGATCCTGAATGAATTGAAAAGTTGGTTCATAGAAACTTTTACGTTTATGTAGCACCTGTTTCCCTGGCTAATCGAGCCGGTGCTCCTCTGCACTCGCGGTGCAAGGGCGCTCCGGCACCCAGGGGACAGGCAGGAATCTCTCCCATGTATATGTACGTATGTATATCCACCCTGGTCTACGTCCCATCGCCGCCACCTCCAATAGTGTTGCCACCAGCCAACAACGAAAAACCCAAAAAAACCAAACAACCAACCAACATCCCAACCAAGCATGTTCAACTTTAACTTTGTTGGCTTAAAAGATGATTAAGTTTTTGATTTTTGTGTGTTTTGTTTTCGGAATCATGCTAGATTCCTGGCCGAAGGGCCACACCACCAAACGATATCAGTCACTTGGACTTTCGTTGAAGTTTTGAATAATTTTGAACGGTTTCAACCGAACGAGAAGATGAAATAACATTACACCACACCACACTACAGCATAAACAAAAGAAAAACAACGTAAATGCAATTGGAGATTAGAAATTAAAAGTTAGCTAAAGTCTTAATGAGCCAAAATAACTGCCATTTATCGAAGCAACATTTTGTTAGAACTTTGTTCATTTTTACAATGAAAATTAAGCGTAAACTAACGTATCAAATTCAATAAGAATTTGATATATGTACTATGATGATGATGCATCGCTTTTAAGGGAGTAATTTTTAACTACCTTCTAGTAGCTACCGAAAATACAACCCACACATTGTTGCCAACGGGACGAATATCGAAAATCGAATATCAAACATGGAATTATGTATGTACTTAAGCGTTGAATACTCGTATGGGGGAAGGGAGCGGATCATTAGCATTACCAAGTGACTGCAGCAAATAATTAGCAATAGAAAATTTGAAAATTGTGTGTTGAAATCGAAATTGATACGAAATATGTATGTATTTATACCTAGTTGTAATAGTAATTGACATTTGTTGGGGGCAAAAACAGGGACAGGCCGCACGCTCTGCGGGTGTCCTGGCAGGCTCTGCTGCAGGGTTGGGGGTCACGAGGGGAGCGAACGAAAAGGTCGCCTCAGCTTTAAATCTTGAGCATTAACAATATTATGAGTTCCTTTTATAATTAATTGCAAGCATAGTACGACGCATTAGCGAGGTAATTGAAGTTATAGATAGTTATATATACACATGCATACATACATACATAATATATACATATATATATATATATATATATATATATATATATATATATAAAGCAAGAAGCGAGTGTTAAATTATGCAAAAGTAGATTTATATACCTACATATAGTACATATACAATACATTATGTATGGTTAAATGTTGGGCAATAAAACGTATCGATCTGAATGAAATGTTTGCGGATTGGACACACAAACACACACACAAACAACTAGAGTGCGTGCGAAGCAATGCCTTGCGGCAGTACCGCGCGCGTTGGGCGCTCACTCCCAAATACGGCCCGCACTCAAAATTGTACAAAATTATAAAGCAAGAAAAGACCAGATTGAAGGAATATACGAATGAATACAAAAAAAAACACAACTAGCGTATAAGTGCGAATACGGATAGAGAAAGCCTTAAGGTCTGTTCAACGTTACGTTCCTGAACGTCACGACCACACACGATCCACACACACATGCAGACAGACACACTCCACTCCCCAGCAGGGGATATTGGGTGGGAGCTTTTTCGCTGCAGTTCTTCTTGAGTTTTGTTCGCGTCTCTCTATCGCCGTCTCGCTGTATCGCTCTTTCGCAATCCATACCATTTCGTTCCCCTTCCCCTTCCGTTACTTAGTTTTAATTTGAATGGCAAAGCGCGTACTCGTCCATCCACTGAATATAACCTCTTGAATACTCGTACCTACCTACCAATCAACCTACCAATGTTTTCTCCTGATTTATCGCACACTAATGTCAAACTCTTTCTATATCTTTCAACTTGACTGTGGAAATGCAACCAATACAAATTGGTTGCTTGTTGTTGAACAATTTTACAAAAACTAACGATATATAACCAAAAACAAATACTGCAATTGAGCGAAAGTTGTCGAGGGCCGCTTAAGACTAGAGTAAAAATTGCATTTTAAGCCTTTATTGGGTGAGTTCTCTCCTAAAGCAAAGTAAAATATTTCTAAAGAACAAAACAAAGCATTTTATTGTTGTATTGTATGTACAAATATCCGAAATTACAATTAATAACGCTTTAGACATTCATTTTGGAATTAGCTACACCGCATATATCCCATTCATATATTTCAGTTGATTTACCCCCGATCCCTTGCTTATCTTATCCAGTTGCCACTGCAAATACTAGCTAAAGTATATACCCATATTCGGTTCTATACCTACTACATAATCGTACATATATTCTCATGTTAAGTTCAAACCACCCTCATAATCAAACTTTTGACAGACGGAAGGCAACACCACCATCCAGACACACAGACACAAGGAACACACAAACACAAACCCCAAAAGTTGAAATTAATCACAGTATTTAGCAACGTTTTTATTGGCCACCTGGCAACACATCAGTTCTACTGCAAAATCCACCCACTAAATGTATTCACGACATTTTGCAAGCATGCTTTAAATTGATCCAATTCGCACCGAATTTACCATTGAATCTCACTAACTAGCGCATATTTCACATTTATCTTTTGCGACATTATATTTGGTCGTTTATTGGTTAAGAGCTTATCAATCGACGTATATATTCCCAACCAAGTTGATTATCCCTACCACATTCCTGCAACATGCGCGCATCGCACGCCTGCAGACACGGACCATGACAGCGTCTTCGAAGGGAACGGGAGTGGGGATTTAAATTCCCGCCCACTCATTGTAATTACACCACCGCCCGCCCATTCAATTACACATGTACTGTATGTTCATTTTAACAGACAACCCGTTTTAATTTAATTACGAATTACGATTTTAATTGCCGCCTTTTCAGCATTTATGATTATTTGCATTTTTAGTCAGTTTTGTTTTTCCCACAGCCAAAACCACAATACAAAACAACACGACGAATCCAAACACTCCAAACCAAACCAAACCCAGCCAAACCATCAACGCCACACAAATAAAAGACACACAAACCACTTTGCAAAAATGGTCAAAATTGAAATTCGAATTTTAAATTAGTTGGCAACTTTGTTGTAATGAGCATTTGAATAATTTACATGCATTGATTATACGATATAAACATTCGGAAACATTGAAGCTACACTGTTCACTAATCAGCCACACCGTTGTCACCTCTGCCCTCTCTCTCTCGTCCGCAGGTAATTCCAATAGTCTAGCTCAGCTGGTGGACAACGAGATTCCCCTAGCCCAGATGGACATTCCGGCGTACACCCAGCAGACGGCCACCCAGGCGCGCCAGTTCCGACACCGGCACCACAAGCAGCGGCAGCTGTCAAACGGAGCCTCGGTCAGCTACGAGAATAGGCTGGCCACGGCTAGCAGTGAGGACGAGCTGGACGACACAGAGGTTGTGGTCGTCGGTAGTCCGGAGGTAGTGGCGGCAGTGGCAGCCATTGCCACCAATAAAGCGCGGGGCTTGCGTAATCGCAGCGGCAGTTACAGCAATCTCTTTGATGCGGACTTTAAGGCAGCACTGGTCAACTCCTCCCTGGCTGACGGGCATGCAGTGGCGGAGCCCTCTGGTGGCGCGGCAACAGGCTCTACCGATGTATTCAAGCCTTCGGCTGGTGCTGCATTGTTGGCTGTCGCCATGGGCTGTGACCATGCGCTAGCCAGCTCGGTCTCAAAGACGGAGAATATGTACAGCAATGTGCCGCACGTGGCGAATGCCTCTAACGCAGAGCCGCCAGATTCCGCCCTGCATGTCTACTCCAACATCATTGACGAGCGCGCCCAGCAGCATCAGCGAGAGCAGCTGCAGGCCACCACTGTGCTGTCATCGACGCTCTTGAGCGACGACCTCGACCTGGACGATCCAGTGAGTGCCTCCTTTGTGGGCGCTCACTCGCAGCGCAAGTCGATCTGCGACGGGGCGGAGCAGGCCAAGTCAGCGGATCGGCTGCGCATGCTTCACGACACCACGATGATCGACACAGCGCTGGATCTGGACAGCCTCGACGGCTCGAGCATGGGCAACAGCTCGCAGTCATGTCTGGTAAAGTCGAACAAGCCGGCAGCCAGTGGTTCCAATGTGAACATAGTCTGAACCGATCCTTGCCTAGCACCCTTTGCCCTGTACAATAGATATTCAGTTTTTGGGTCTGCAGAGTATTACTAATGTTCATTAAACGAGCCTGACGAGGTTTTCATTTTATCATTTTCCATTTGTGTGTGCTGTGGTGGGTCGAGGGGTAACCAACAAGAGAGATGAGAAGATAAACTATCAGCAGGCAGCTAAAATATTACCTTACCGCGTTACGCATTCGAAACAGATATACATTTATATACATATATACGTACATATGTATATGGTATAACTAAGCATTTACACATATGAATGTATGTATGTACAGCAAAACAAAATGTGGTGAACAATGTTAACAATTCAGTGGCATTAATGAGGAAAACAAAGAGAGACCCCAATACTATATGGGGAGAAACTGTTTATACAATACACGACGCAAACATATAAATCAATTATAAGTACGTACGTAGATAAAGATAAAGATATTTATACATGTATGGTTAGTTATAGAGTACGAGTATCATTTGTAAATTTAAGTTTTTACAGCGACCCAAACGAGTCCGCATCGTTGTTTAGAGTTTAATGATATTTGCGATAGTGGGAAGAAGGCAAACCAAACAGAAAATATCCAACCAGAATACTATCCTGAAATATACGTGAATTTGCAAATAGAACGAGGAGAGGCGGAGGAGAACGAGGAGGAAAAATGTTAACAGCATTAGAGTTAAAAGCAACAATGTGGTGTATTAAATGTTCATAAAGTTACCATTAAGTGTATTTCCAAGGTGTAAAATGTTATATGACAAATTAAATCGAGTTTGAGAGTTCGAAAGCTCCAATGCATGAGTGGGCAAAAATGTTAAGCGTATGTTATGCGAAAATAACAAAACTACAATTATACAAAGAATAAACATTTATAAATAGAGAAAATTAAAAATGTAATTTTATTCGGTCGGAATGGAGCAGTTTTTGGTTCGAATTCGATTGAATGGAAATGACCTTTTTAGTCCGACTTTGAAATTCCATTTCGCCGTTACACTTGGCGCAATTTTAATGGCCCTGCCCTGCCAACTCACTTGAGTTTCGTAAATGCTAAACAACGCACAGTGCTGGCACTTTAGCTACAGGTACATAATATTCAGGCTGAAAGTCTTAGCTTGCTAGAAATTTCAAAAGGAATATAAAAATCGACTAATATATTGGTTTGGTAACGAAATGCATATTCTTATCCGTAGTTACTTTTCCCTACACGGAAGAACACAAATGCTACGCATTAGCACTAAGCAAATAACTCATAGAGTGGTCAAATCGACTTGAAACTGACTGCCTAATCAGTATAGGGGATTGGCTCCCAGTGTCTTCGTGTGTGCGGTGTCACATACATAAATGATGGCAATGCGTGTATATATTCTCGACTTCATATGCGTTTTCATTTTTAGCGCTTGAGACGTTTGGCATTTTTGTGTTGCTTCTGAGCTCACATACCCTTTTTTTCAAACTTGAGACTATATGAAGCAGCTTGCCCCAAAAAAAAACACTTAAATTGTGTATCCTCTCTATGCTCATATATTTATTAAATACATTTAGGACGAAAGGGATAAACGGTTATAAACATCTAAATACATATGTACACAAATAATGGATAACGGCAATTGACTTGCAAAAATTTTTTTTTGGTTTATACTATTTATTTACTACTGATTTTTTCATTATTATCAGGTATTCCTCAGCAAAAGAAAGGAATAAATCTCCAAATATGTTGTAAAGATAGAAGAACTGCCCCCCAAACCATTCCGAGCTTATTATAATATTTCCTTATGTTCCCCTTTTGCAATTTTAAGGAAAACAATATATCGTTTCCTCTTTTGTTGCGCGCGGTGTTTTTCAAACATTTTCAATGACCTCAGTTAACATACATGTGTCTCTCTACATGTTACATACATTTACATACTGTATACAAAGCTTAATTGCTTATAGAAAGGGTGATTTGAATGTTTGAATTTATAAAATATTAGGCCATAAGGTATACAAACCAATAACAGTTAGTATTTAAAATACGCCATATTGATTCTTCAAACGGATTAAATTATTGTTTCAGTGGTGAAAGTCTTTGCAAGCTAGTAAAATTAAATAGAACATCAAAATCGAGGAATATAATTTAAGACAACGGTATATTTTTATAATGAGAAGGTATAATTTATCGATAGTGCCGCAGGAAACTCGGGCTGCGAAAACATCGATAGTGGCCACCAACGATGGTGGAAATAGTGTAGGTGGCCTAGATTACCCTAGAAAAAATAGCTCTAGGTTAAATGAAATAGTTCCTCATCCGTATTATAAACGCAGTATTGACGGCAGTTAAGATATCTTATATAAATAGATACAGAAAACTGTAATTTTCTGTAATTCCTTAAAGGCTCTGAAGAGAAATTAATCAAACTTATACTTAACAGACGAAATCCACCTCGACATGGACAATTCACTCACTAGCAACTTTATTGTGCACTGGAAACCCGGTCACAAGAATATTGCCATTAATGAAAAGACTTATATACTAGCCAAATCAGCCACTAATGTAGGTAAACTATTTATTTTAAATAAAAGTTCAGACGGATTGGAACAATGAGTACAAGGAAATATAAAAAACCAAAGGAATTTATTTTGCGTCAATTTACAATGAAATTCCAGTCAAACCATGGCACTGGGCTCTCGACTGGAGTGCAAACGAGAAGGGACGTGTGAAACGCTCCTTACGCGTCACAACTTTTATCCCCGGAACTCAGTACTACAAGTGCACCTTAGCGGTGTTTTGTCAAATTTTAAAATTTTTCTTCATCTGTCATCTACATCTACAACACTTCTCACACCAACACGCTCCGTTAGCTCGCCGCCCTCCCCTAGACCCAAACACTGCAGACTCGAGGCAGACGCAGAGGCACCGTCCGCACACAAAAAAAAAAAAACAAATATACGCTGCGGGACGGGGTGGGTTAAAACTCGGTAGAGGCACCGGCATGGAGCGGGCAGGGGCAGGGGCCGAGTGAAGCAGAAGCAGAGTGTGAATGAGAGAATGTAAAAAGAACAACAAAAGCTGCTCGGATCGCAATTTGGTGATCTGATAGATATGGTCATTCCCTACGGAATGGCGTTTTTAGTTTTCTTTTAGATTGTAGATTTGGGAGGTTTTCGACCTTTTGCTGGGGCGGAAGGGGGCGTGGCTCATTTTTAAAATACACTCGAACAGTGTGAGCATACAGAAGTCTGCATGCAACATTTGGTGGCTCTAGCTTTTATGGTCTCTGAGATCCAGGCGCTCAACAAGACGGACTGACGGACAGACAGACATGGCTCTATCGACTCGACTATTGATGCTGATCAAGAATATATATACTTTATGGGGTCGGAAACGCTTCCTTCTGTGCGTTACATACAACCGTTATTCCACATAAATACAATATACCCTATTTGCTCTTCGAGTACCGGGTATAAAAAGATAAAGGGTATAAAGATAAATAGACTGTTAATTTTACACAAAATCAAGGGCAGAAACACCAACATTTGCGAAGTTTGCAACGTTCTCGACAATGCGGAACATGAAATCTTGTCCTGCCAACGACATGCTATTATCATAAAAAATAAAAAAAATTGCATCGCTTTAAAGATCTTAAGGAGCTATTGCTTACAAAGGAGCCTCTTTTTTTAGAGAATTGACCAAATTTATTATTAAGGCTAATTTGGAGTTGTGAATCGAAACACATTGGATTTTACTCAGGTCGGGTTAACTCGGTGCCAACGGAAGTCACCTTGAGGAGCAACCTTCTGTTCTTCCTACTTTCTGAGGCAACCTGGTGTTGCAATACACACCTTCACCTACGCATACACACCAATCCATTTCACTACTAAATATTTTGTTAAACTCTTACACACGACCACACTTTGAACTAAGCATCATATTGTTTAAATTATAAGAATATACCAATGCAACACCATGCATGGTCTCATTAACAACCATCGATAGTCAAGAAAATATCGACAGCCCCATCATCGAACTGAAGTACCTGGTCAATGCGGACTCATCGTCGTGCGACCATCCCATTTCGCTGCAGCGATTAAATACCAAAACAAAATACAAAAATATGCAATTTGTTGAAATTAATCCAACAAACACCTATTTAAGGTAAATAATAAGTTAACTCTTAAAAGCGATAACTATATTCTTCGAGTTTCAGTGGCGAGCAACTCATTAAGCACCGCCATTTGGAAATAGAAGCCCCGTCCGGCGGCCTGAAGCGCACACAGAATGAAGGAAGTGCAGCTGAACTCGAGGAAATTACCGCGGCTCTTGGTAAGGTGTAGGATTGATGTGAGTCAATTATATAAAATGTTAATTACTTCAGCGAATCTGCGAGCTCAATTGTCTGTGCCACGCATTGAACGCCTCGGAGGGAGAGCTCTGGCCACTTGGGATAAAGAACAGCAAGCAGCTGAAATACTGCGCAAGGATGGCAAATTTGAGAGCTTCGGATACAGCGTTCAGGGTAAACAATATTTGGAATACTACGAGGCCTTGTTTCTTCTGGAGTTGGTGGGTAAGTCGGTCATTCCGTATCGATTTTTATTGACGTGAAACAAATTTCAGGGTCGCCTGCAGCTGGAGTACCATGGAGTGACTGTTTCAGTGGAGCAGGCCTATGTCTTGCTGCTGGGGGAGCTGGAGAGCGAAAAGTACAGCAATTACTTGGTTTATTCAACAATGTCTCGCGCTGGATACATAGTGGTTAGGCATAAGCGCCATCAGCCAACAGCAGAAGCAGTGACTAGATCAGATTGCATCTGGGCTCTGCTGGATTTGAAGATTGGGAATATACCAATTGCTGGAAATATCAGAGCTTCACCGCTGTATGCTCCTGTAGAGAAAAGCATGGAAGATATGAAACAGCTAATCGTGTGGCCAAATATGGAAGATAACGAAAATAGCTGCGAACCGATCGATTTCAAATTTGACACACGAAAGCGAAAATCAAATACAGCTTCGAAAGGAGATCCTGGCAGCAAGAAGGCATGTCTATCAACAGGCAAGAGCCTGGTAGACCTTTCAAAGACCGAAGCGACTTTTTCAAGATTCGAAAGAGTCTTCAACAAATTTGACATTGTGCAGCTTAAAATCAGCGATTACCCATACGATGATGATTTAACGCTACCTTCTCTCAATATATCATTTGACTTGCATCTTCATAATGAAGGTTTCAAAAAGCGTACGCCGAAAACACCCTCGTTCAACGTAATGATTCTCCCGCCTGATGCGCTGTTTCCCACACACAGTGAGATTGCCCAGTGCCAGCGTCAACAGCGCCATACAGCACCACTGCTCGTCGTGTCCGTTAGCGAATCGAAACAGATACAGGCGTTTCTGTACTATATTAGTTGATGATGTCGGGTTCTGCGGATGTGCTACCTGAATATATTGTACGTCTAATTATTGTTATTTTACATGCGCCTCAAAAATTGCCCATTGTGCCTAACTTAATATAAATACCACTCACTTTATGTTCCACAAAGTGCCGACAGGAGAAGTTCTGACATTCGATGAAAATTATTTTATTTTATATGTACATATAATTTTGGCCTCAACAAAATTTCCGTGCAGAAATGGTAAGCTTATTATTGGGAGGGGATCAGAATTAGTGGGTCACTAATCTGTCTGTAATGTGTGTTATTTCAGAACGCACCAATTGTCTGGATAATGGGCGGCCCGAACAGCGGCAAAGACGTCCAAGTTCAAAAAATTGTGGAGAAATATGGCTTTACGCATATCGATCCTAACGCCATGGTGGACAAAGAGGTGAGACAAACCAGACAATCGCAATTGCAATACTATTTGACACATTTGTACTTTCACCAGATTGAGGCTAAGAGTGCAGATGGCAAAAAGTTCGAGGCAATCCGTAAGGATGGCAAGGAAGTACCTTTGGCCGATATAGTGCCGCTGGTGGAGAAGCAAATTATGGGCCAACGTGGCGGGATCAATGGATTTTTACTCAATGGGTGAAATATGGGAATCCATATAAAAAAAGATCCACCTGAATATTTATACTACATAATTATAGATATCCGCGCAACGAGGCCGAAGCCAAGGTACTGGAAGATCGTCTTGGCCAGCCTACCATGATCATTGCGTTGGATGTCCAAGGAGACACAAACAAAAAAGAGTCCAAGGCAGTGCTACAAAAATATTCCAACATAACGATGCAACTTAATGCCGAACGTGATGCCAATGAAGTATTCGAGGATCTAGTTCCCAATATGGAGACACTGGTGAAGAACCGAGGGCCCCAAATCTCAATCGGACGCTAGATCTTCAAAATTCAAGTTGCTTGAAAATCCCTATAACATATTCATAGACATTCAATTCAAATCGAAACAAATACAACTTTAGTTAAATAGACCACATACAGAAAAAGCACACGGAACACAAAAAGCTCAATTCGAAAGCTCGCGTCAGCGCTCGTCTACGCGTACTGAAACCGTTAGCCGAAAGCCTTTTAATTCAGTCACTCGCAATATACGCTGCATCGAGCGAGGGTGGTGGAAAATCGTCGGGCAAAGATATCGAACAACTTGGCGCTGAGAAAATCAACCACAACAAAGAAGAACGAGGCAGACCAAGAGTGTCAAACAAACATCGGCTCTAACCTAACGAAAATTTCGCTTGTTCAACGAAAATCCCTCAGAAGCGACGCATTCATCTCGTATACATCACAATGGTGAGTGAGAGAATGTGCCAGTGCTAGTTTGACTGTACTCGTATACTCGAAATCCCCGCACATTTGTTTGGGGTTTTATATTGCTTTGCTCTGATTTATTTTTATTTGTATGCCACTTATATCAGTTTCGCTTTTAGTTAAATTTCTCTTTCGGCGTTTTATTTTTCCCCCCACCGTTTGAACGGCGAGAGCGAGATTTAGGGATTGCATAGACGACACGACCTTGAGCCACTTTCACGACACTTGCATTTGTGCACTTGACCTTGCCAATTGTTGCAATTGCCCTAGGCAGCACACTTACTCTGGCACATACTTACATATGTATTTCGGAACACATCGCTTCCGATGCGAAGTGTTTACTTATCACAGCTTAGAAGCTCCATCAGCTGTTCGCCGCTGATCTGGTATAAATAGAGACTCGGCTAATAGCAACGATTACGTGCCTGTGAAATCCCCCTAAATACATACACAAACAACTAACAAATTAGCAACTCAAATGGCCCAGTCGATCGCAGTAAAAAGCCGAAATTTCACATTCCAAACAGAGAATTTTGACGTCAAATTTCGATAAATTTGCATATATTTATGACCAGTTCCCGATACTCAGGAATTTCTGGCGGGGCTTGATTCATTAGCATGTCTCCAGTCCCCAAACCCCAGCATCGTCGCCAGAGCAGTTAAATGTGTTTATTGACGCTACCCGAACTAGACAGTCATGCCGGTTTTGATTCAGTCGCGACGGATGGAATGATTAAATTAATTACAATAAAATCAGCAGCAATCTTGAGATTGAAAGAGCAAAAGTTGGCGTCCCAAAAAATTCCTGCTTGCTGAATAGTTTTGCAGTTCCGTTTGAGAAGCGCGCAAGTGTGGTCTAACTTTAATAAAAGTTTTGATATAATTGGCAGTTTCACGGCGGGAACTTAAACAACTGTTCATACAGTATGTACGTAATGACCAAGTGTGTAAAAGGTCAGTGCCAAAACTTATTTACGATGGACACGGAACGCCCTAGCTGCGGATCCCTGAGAATGACATTGAAAAGTCACTGAACTACTAAAAATATAACGAAATTACGTAAATCCGATTGAGAATCATAAATTTTCACACGCAACCATTAAGATGCGTAGAAAATGTGCCAACAGAAAAGCGAGCAGCTCAGAGTAAAAATGAATATCAAAACAAGGGTGCTATAGAACAACCTGCTCATTATCAAAGCTGCCAAATTGTTGTTCATTTTGTTTGTCTGGTGATTTTCCCCTTTCCCCAAGTTTTCGCTGGGGTGCGACAGTGCGGAACAGGTGAATATCAGCGGGGGATCCGATCCACATCCACAGGCATCGTGTAGAGCACACGCAGATCTCTTGACCACCTACACACGCTATTGAGTCACGAGCCGCCAACAAAATCGACTCAATTGTTTACAGCAATTGAGATTTTCTCGCTGAAATCAAACCATCATAAATACAATTTTTTGGGGCTGGATAGAGGTGCCAATTGCTTTGAATGAGATCTCCGACGTGCCATGGATGGCTGGGAGCGGTGAGCTCTGTGCCAGTTCGGTCTCTCGTACCCTGTGCCTCCTGCTCAAGATCAATGTCATGTGGGAATGTAAAATGTATTAGTTCTCGAACTCGACCGCGTATATAGAGCACATGTGTGTATGCATGTAAAATATGCCTGGTGGTATGTCTGTTCATATGGCTGGGAAGTTTATTGTCGGCAAACATTTGAGGTACATTTTTTGTTGGCAAAGTGCCCAGAATTCGAATAGCTACATATTAACAAATCCAAAACATCCAGATATTGTCCAATAACACTGAAACATTGAGATATCTAACCATCCCCCACAACTGTCTCGATTGTGTAGTTATTTATGTGTCACCAAATGGCAATGAAGAAGGAGGCCCAGGAAAAGCTCAAAGCAGAGGAGCTCCGAAAGGCGCAAGCCGCTGTAAGTAGCCTCAGTCACACGACCTGATCGACGGGCAAAGTAATCTTCTATTAGGTTTATTTGATGTATGGCATGTACATGTACCGTGCGGCCGCTGCTTCAAAACCAACCTCTTAAGACCCCTGCTCCCTAACTGAACTAAGCTTGCATCTAAGTAAACACTAACTAAGCTAATTGTAGATGTTACTCGAGTCTGTGTGTCGGTCCCGTCTAACCTCTGTCCCATATTGCAGTCCGAAATCCCCATCATCTGGATATTGGGCGGTCCTGGCTGCGGCAAAGGCACTCAGTGTGCTAAAATTGTGGAAAAATACGGTTTCACACATCTGAGCAGTGGCGATTTATTGCGCAATGAGGTAATGTTGTTCGAAAAACCTGACATAGTATGATTAATTGCGTCAGTTAATTGTGAATTTCCATTTTCAGGTGGCTTCAGGATCGGACAAGGGTCGCCAGCTTCAGGCCGTCATGAGCAGTGGCGGCTTGGTGTCCAACGACGAGGTCCTTTCGCTTCTGAACGATGCTATCAGCCGTGCCAAGGGTAGCTCAAAGGGCTTTCTCATCGACGGATATCCACGGGAGAAGAACCAGGGCGTTGCCTTTGAGGAGCGCATTGCTCCCGCCGATCTGGCCTTGTACTTCGATTGCTCTGAAGACACTATGCTGAAGCGTATAATGGCGCGTGCCGCTGCAGCAGCTGTAAAAAGAGCCGATGACAATGAACAAACCATAAGGGCGCGTCTGCAGACTTTCAAACTGAACACAAGCGCCATTCTGGAGCTATACGCAGACAAAACCTTGACAGCAAGTTCTAAAGTAAACTTATGTCAACATTTACTAAATAACCTTCGCTTACCCACAGATCAATGCCGAGCGTGATGTTGATGACATCTTCCAAGAGGTTGTCCAGGCCATCGAATGTGTGCTCAAGAAGAAGGCGAAAGCTGCCGTTCAGTGCTAGTAGGAAGCGCTATTATTAAGAAACAGTACCAAAGTTAGCAATACAGCCAAAAATTTATAAGCACTTTTTAACGCTAAACTCGAAGAAATCTCTTAAATTGCCCCAATGAAAGATAAGCACCATATTTACTATTTTTTAAATGAATGTCATGTTATCCCAATAATCTCATGCGAGAAATGGTTGATCGAATGCTCTTAATAAATTTACACATACATTCAAGAGTTAGTTGACAATTTACTTCGATGTGGAAAAATATGGTTTAAAAAGAATTTGCCGTTTTGAATTAGAATTCCTAATTGAAATGTTAGTAAAATTGTTACAATTATAACTTTACACGAATGTTGGTCGCTTTCCGTGAACAAGACTCTGATTAAATATTTATAAGCCTTATCTGAAAGCACCAAGGGCACAGGTTGTTCGAAAGGAAAACATTTCAAACAAATTCGCCTTGAATTCGAGTGTGAGAGCCACGTGCTTAGATGTTAATAATACAAATTAAAAAGTACATCTTCATTTTATCCACTAAACCAGTTTTTGTTTCTAAGCATCGTGGGAGTAAAACGAAGCAAATCTTACACTGTACTGCCAGATTAATTAATTTTAAGAAAAACTATAAAGTACCTCAAAGAACTCGGTCCTTTTTTTTGTTTTTGAATGGGATAGGGAATTTCCCTTTGAAATCTTGGAAGAATCATATATGCCTCAATTTTGCTGGTTTCGCAGACATTGTATTGTATTAGAAGCGCTTCGTCACTCATAAGATAAATGCAAAAGTAGATCGTCGAATAAATGATAAAATTGTACCCGAAAACTGGAGCATGATATTCGAATATGTCGGTTCTGGCAATTATGTGAGCCATGTTTATTTAGGAGTGGGCTATATTTCAATCAAGATAATATCAATTGTTTATAAATTTTCATTTGTTTACTGACGGGAGTTTCCGTCATGAATTCGGTGTCTTAAATGCAAAATAGATCTGACATAATTTTGGCAAATCAATAGTCCCACAACCACCGAGAGAAAAATCGTATCAAGAATCGACAATATTTGTTCTTCAAAACTGGTAGGAGCCGAATCATCTGTGTTTTATCACGGAACTAAATACCATGTGGAGCAGTCGAGCGTCATCATGTGGAGTGGTGCTCCCCTACAAACTGGAGTGGGCCTCGAGTTCGTGTTCTTGGCAATCGAATTGAGCGTTAAGTCAATATAGAAATTTATGTAAACGAAGTGATTGGCGACAGCCAGAGACGGCGCAGAAGCATTGGCAGCATGCCTCATAATTTTTCGTTTCGTGAGTTATGTAAAAGGCGGCAGCAGCATTGAAATAAGAAAGATTCAGAGAGATACCTATAGGTATAAATACATACGTAGAGAGGCGAAACAGTTAACTGCTCAGAAATTATCACATGACGACGACGTAAAAGTTTTTATCGGACGATTATCGTTGGACGCGATCTCCGGATTCGGGAATTCCAATTCCACAAAAATCAGCATGACTAAACAGACAGAAGAGCTAAAGCAGGTTTTTTTTGTTGATATTTTGTTTGTTTTTTGGATTTTTGTTTTTTTATTTTCATATACAATTTCTTAATATTTTGCATCGAATTTGTATGCTTTCCTTTTGTTTGGAGACCCATCGGTAATTTGGGGTTTTGTTTTTCATTTGGAGCCTTACAATTAAAATAAATATAGATGTTTAAATAGTTAAAACTAAGAACAATGTACAAATTTTGATGGAGAAATTAGCTAACTGAAGGAGTATCTAGACATATATCACACGATTAGAGAATTCTTTCAAGGTAAAGCTATAAAGATTCAGTCAAAGGGGGTAGGTACGACTGGACGTACTCATCCTAAATGAGATTGTCATCACTATACGGATGTTGGGGCTGCTGCTGATGTGGGTGCGGGTGCTGCTGCTCCTGATGATGCGTTTGGTGTGGCCGGACATAATGCTGGGTCGAGTGGACCCGCTGTGGTGCAGTAAGACCACCAGTCTTACTCTCAATCCAGTCCAAATAGTTTGTGACTCGAGTGAAGCCTCCGGGAATATTGGTTTCGCAGCCATCGGCTGGGCCAAAGCTGGTAATGCCCACAACGGTTTGTGTGTTCTTGAGCACTAGAGGGCCACCGGAGTCGCCTGTGCACACGGTTTCGTCTTTCAGGCCTTTGGCACACATCACACCAGACGTAACCACATCGTATTCCTGTGCGCACTCCTCATTCGAGATAACTTTAAGCTCGGTGTACTGCATCGAGTCCGAGTTGGACATCTCCACCATGGCGCCCCATCCGCTGGCCACCACGCTCATGCCCGTGTACTGATCATGCCGCTGTCTGCTGGGCAACGAGGCTGCCTGGATACGAGTGGTAAAGGCCACATCCATTGGCAGCTTGACCAGAGCGATGTCATTTGCAGCCGTCTCCGGATTGAATTTCTCGTGCACAATGAATTTGTTTGAACGGATCACCAGTCCTCCCAACTGCTCCGTGTCGTCCACGCTCTTGGTACCCAGGTAAACATCATAGTGGGTAACTCCCATGGTGCAGTGGCCGGCAGTGAGTATCCAGCGCCTGTCCAGCAATGTGCCGCCGCACAGAATGCGCTTGCGCCACAGCTGCTTTCCTATCAGCATCACTTGGTAGGGGAACTTTTCAATCTTTCCGAATTTCGACTGGCCGATTGCATAGCCTGTGCTGGGAGCTGGCTGCCACATGAGGAGCAGGACCAGGCCGAGGCCTAGTACGTGTGTGGGACGGAGGAGGGGCATTGTTCTGGCTGCCATTTCTCTGTTATTTTCTGTTGCACTTGTCACTGATCTTTCTTATAATTCTTTATGGGACCGAAATAATCGAGTTTTGTCACTTGCTTGTTTCAGTTTTGGTTTGTGGATCTGCGCTCTTTGAACGTTCGCTTCAATCTAAATCCGTTCTGACGGAGTCGTGATATTTTATACGTCTTCACTCAGCGAAATAATTTTGCCGGTTTTCTGGTGTCTGGTCCCCGGCTCTCTCATACGTATCTCTGCCTCTGTCGCTGCGAGTCTATACTCGTATTCGCCAAAGCCTCTCTCCGCTCTCTTCTGCTTTGCCAGGGAGACTGACTCTTCTTCGGTAGCTTGTTATTATGACAGACAACAGGTCGTAAAATCTCGTTTAAAGCAAACAAATTGTGTATAAATATGTGTATGTTTATGGGGTATGCATATGTGTGCATGTATCTGATAATACGCCAATGCTAGCCTAGCTGTGAGCGCGCGAAAGAAAAGTTCAAAATGTTGAACTGCAAGCCAGCCTTCCCGTCTGCTGATGGCTGGATGCCTAATAGAAAACGGAAGTGAAATTGGGTTGAGCTGATTTCGTTTATTCCCGAAATATCAGCGTCTGCTCTTTGACCTTTGATGATTTCACCAGTTAGAGATGTGCTAAGGATTAGACGAAATTTGTGTTCTCTGGAGAGCATCAAGTTATGAAATTGAAAGAGAAAATGTGAGCCAATAGACAAACACAGAACAGGTATTCCAGCTGAGCGGAGATCCGAGCTCTGGTCCAGACCCAGCCCCTACCGGAGAAGTGAATTGGGGTGACAAATACGATTTTAATTATGTATAAACAATTTTGGAATTCTGATTAAAAGACTAGTTTTGTTTGTCTTTTTCCTCTGGTCTGTTCTGTTCGATTTGGTTTTGTTCTGTTCAGTTGAAAATGTTTCATTCAAATGAAAAGGTGGAATTTTTTTGAAAGTTGCTTTTGCGCATCTTTATTGCATATTTTTCTTCTTCTATTCACAAACATTTCGGTATGGCGCGGCCTGTAAACAACGGGGACTCCAAGTAGGTTTTTTTCATTCACTGGCGCCATTAGAATTTGTATTAATCAGTTATTCATTTACGCCTCAAAGTCCAAAAATGCTGCTAATTTCCAGCGAAACTTTCGGACGAATTTAAGTCGAACAGCGATGAATCAAGATTCGTTGTCTGTTTATTATAAACATTTTAATATGTAGATTACGTTCCCGATCATAATAACAACAACGCTGACTCAATCAGTGTTTTTTTTTCATCCCATTCTATATCGTTTTATTAAAATTTTCCGAACTAAAAAATACGTAGATCGAAACAGATACATATTTGAAAGAGGAGTTAATTTGGAATTTTGTTGAAAGCACCTAGTGATTGTGATTGTCTAACGCATTATTATACTTATTATTATTATATTGTATTTGTGGGGAATAACGGATGTATGTAACGCACAGAAGGAAACGTTTCCGACCCCAAATAGTATATATATTCTTGATCAGCATTAATAGCCGAGTCTATGTCTCTCTGTCCGTCTGTCCGTCCGTCTTGTTGAGCGCCTGGATCTCAGAGACCATAAAAGCTAGAGCCACCAAATTTTGCATCCCGACTTCTGTATGCTCACACTGTTACAAGTGTATTTAAAAAATGAGCACCGCCCCTAAACCCACCCTGTCGCGCAGCTTTTGTTGCTTGTTTCACATTCTCTCATTCACCGCGTCTCTGCCTCTGCCTCTGCCATGACTCTGCAGTGTGTGGCTCTAAGGAAGGGTGGCGAGCTAAAGCAGCGTGTTGGCGTGAGAAGTGTTGTGATGTAGATGACAGATGAAAAAAAATTTTAAATTTGACAAAAAAAACGCTAAGGTACAGATGTAGTACTGAGTGCAGGGTATAAAAGTTTTGACGCGTAAGAAGCGTCTCACACGTCCCTTTTCGTTTTGATTTACCAATTAGCAGTCGACTTGTAAGAATCTCTGACGAAATGGCTTTGTTTTCGACTGAACTCCGAGCAGGGATGTGCGAAAAGTGGTCGAGGCAGTTTCACATGCTGTACACCTTGATAGAGCATCTCGGACTCGTAGGTCTCAATAAAGAGTCAAATTGATCGGAGTGTTTACATTGCCAATTCTCAGGTGCAACATTTATAAATACTAAGTACTAATAAAATTAATTGGACATAAAGGTGTGAATATTCATTATACACTACTCTGTACGTGGGCTTTTCGCGGGTCCGTCCGTGAAATGCCTGGAGAGCACGTGTCCACCACGAGAATAGCTTCCCGTTCTATGTGTGGTCTCTTTATTATTCAGGCAGGTTGAGCTATCTAATCTTCCAATTAGTTTTCAGCACAACATCAAAGTTTATGGAACAGGTTCACATCCATCAAACATGAAATAGTTCAATAAAACTTAACTTTTCATTTTTTCAAACCAATTTCAGTTTTAATGCCAGAACTGAATGCATATTTCATTTTCTGCGACTGCTACGTTTACTGCTGACTGCTGCAAGAACCGGCAAGATTTATTCGAAATAAAATCTGAATTTCTCGACCGGGAATCCGATATGCAAATAAATGCAAATTAGCTCTCGGGAACACCCGAAAATCGTTGTTTTTGTCGACAAAGTTCAGCGGCTTGGGGCTCTGGCGCCACGAATGTTGCTTACCTTGCACGAGAAAGTAGCTGACCTTGACGGCATTCGGAGTATTCGGAGACTACCCTGCTAGAAAGCGGATCAGCGGCTGCAGAGGGGGCGGGACACCTATCTAATTACGGACGGAGGGAGGGAGCATTGACCAAGCGATGGGGTATCCGAATGGGCATAACAAATCGTTCATTGACGTCAGCCCAAACACCATTTATCTTGCACGGGTCTTACAATTTAATTAATGTTCCAGCGAATGAGCATTTAATATGCAATGGCGTAGAACCAGTAGTCGCCACACAACTTTTCGCCGGCAGTAAAAGTTCCTTTCCTCTACCGTACCCTGCCCCACTTTTGGAGAGTAGCTAAGCTGTAGGCGGGATATCTAAACTCACTTCTTTGACAAACTAGATCCGGTTGGACTTCATTTAATGCTGAAGACTCAACCGAAAACAGAATTGGCTAGACCAAAAAGAAAGAGGAAAGAGAGGCTGGGACGACAAGAAACAAGTTGGCGAAGAAATTTATGTCGATGGGAATTCCCAAAAAAACCCAAATACTGGGCCAAATCGTCGCACACAATAACAAATTCCCATGACGTCGTGTAGCAAACAAACTTTACAGACATTCATCAAAGGCATTTATCATTAGCCAAGAAAGAAAGATGATCGCTTGATCGCCGTTAGCAAAATGCAGAGAAACCTTTTGGCGCCAGTTATCCAGACGGATTCGGATCTTATGTGTATGTACATATGCATGGAATGGAATACTAGTTCCCTGTGCAGCTCCGCCGCCATCATTGGGTTTCCCATAACACGTGCTAAGAGCCTACTCAGCCTACCCATCAACAGTTTAAGAAAGTCGTCAAAACAAACCGTTTAAATGAATTTTCGATGCTGTGAGTCTCATTTCCAATTCGCATAATATATCAAGTTGTCAAATTAAATTTGCATGCCATTAATACTTATTCAGCCAAATGAAGCGCAGCTGAAGCCGCCCCTAAAACTTGATGTGTTTTGCCAACACATATAGAATTGGTGAAGCTGGAAAACCGCATTTCAAGCTCAAACTATGGTGGCAACAGGCAAATTTCTAGGCTTAATGCGAATTTTGGAACTTAGGAATTTTTTTTGTTTAACCATTGAATATGTGAATAATGTTGTCGGGGAAGCCGAGCGGCAGATTGGCGCCGAAATAATTAATTATAAATTTACTGTCTCGACATTAATAACCCATTTGGCATTTGCATATAAATTAGAACATTCGAAAACAACAGCCTCCCTTCCCCTCCCTTCACAACAACAGCTGCAGATAACAAACACGTATAACTAAACCAGTGTGAATGGCATACATATGTACATATACATATGAAGATAAGGCGCGACTACCGCATACCCCTTAATACTCAGTATAGGAGGTAAATGGATAGTACAGCAGTCTAAGCCAATATGCGCAATAGTTTTCTATCCAGTTAAATTTGATAAATTTCTAGATCTTTAAATTATTTGCTCCTCAGGCAAGTAAACAAAGACTTGGCATTGAAAATTGTTTGATCAAAAGAAACCTGATGCTGAAGTTATATACAATAGTGCCAACTACCCTTTTCCTAAAACAAATCATAAGTTGGCAATCATCATAAAGGCTAAGGAAACGTTAAACAAACCGGGCTTTATGCCTACGACTTGACGTCACGTGGGGCTTTCTTCAATCGCATGATTCAGCCCTGCCTACTTCTGCTCACCATCTAAATCGAATTATTACCTGAGCTAAACATAGCTGAAACGTCACTGTTTGTTTGCATAAATTAGTACGCACATTTCTTCAAAAACGAATAACGCATTGTTTGGCCTTAGATTGGACTGTCTTAACCTTCCGAAGGCTCACTGTGACGATGCAAATAACAATATCACGCATGCGGTGCCATCGAACTCAGGTTAAACTTAAGGCGACCATTCCGATGTACTTACAAATTGCGATTTTTGTTTGCACGGTAAGTATTCCAGAATGTAATTAATGTGTACAACCGTAAATAAACAATTACGGCAAGTACAATTATTTGAATGTGTAACTGCCCTCCCATAATTATAAGCATCCTAAATCACACATGTGCATGGAAAATACAATTATTTATATCAGATGCAAATTGTGAAAGCAACAGAGTGATTTTGTCGGTCTTATTTTAATTACCATTCACTGTGTTTCCTTAAATCGAAATAATGAATTGAACTGCTAAACCAGTTCATACATTCAACCAAATATTTCTCCCGTTTGAATATGGTAGAGTTGTTCTCTTTTTGGAGCACGAAATTTGAATATAATCTTGGATATAAAACTATATTTTCTTTCCCAATAAAAGCAGGAACCATTAGCCGATAAGACTTGCATATCGCACAAAAATATCGATATATGGATTCATAAGCCATGTGCATCGATAAGTCAAAAATCGATACATCGCAGCCGGCAAGCAGTATTGCCAATTTAGCTGAATCTAGCGTTTTCAATTGCCATATGCGGGATACACTGTAACATGGTGGATAGAGGGAATTATAGCTATTCCAAGATATTGTTTTTGTTATGTAACTTGTTTTAAAATTCGTCAACTTGCAGTGTTTTCATGCAGCAGACGATATGTTTGAGAAAATTGATAAGTTCTTAAAATTAGTAGATGAAAGCAATACAAATAACGGTCAATAGTCTCTGGTTTATTTAGCTTCCATCAACATTGTCTAGCTATTTCGAGCTGTTTTCAAACTCTAGTTTAGCCTTTTCATGACCCAAAGTCCTGGCAACACTGATGACAAGCCGGCAAAAGCAAAGCAACAAAAAAAAAACAAACATATAACGTTGATTGACAAATATGAAAGAAAAAGATCTTAAACGGGCATACAATAATGTGCTGTCGCAGGTTATATCTTCGTCCCATCAGTACCTGTTTGCTGGCAATCTTTTTGGCGACATATTTGTACTCAGGTAACTTTTGCTTTTAGTGTCCATGGTATACACTATTGACACTATACTTGCAGCCTGAAAGAACTGGACAAAGGCAGGGAGGAGCCCCCAGGCAAACTCAAGATCTTCCCACAAGGCAGTTCTGTTGACATCAATTGCTTGCAGTTTCGTCGGGACTTTCTGATAGTCGGAACCGTGGGTGTTGTCTATGGGCTGCAGTGGAACGAAGATGACGAGGTATTAAGTACTAAACGCTCCTGGGAGGTTAAGATACCGATGCAATCAGATGCCGTGGAAGTTCCGGACGTGAATTCGTTGTGGCTGAGCCCAGACACTGACACCCTGTTCGCTGGTTGTGGAGACGGTATAATTTATCAAATAAGTCTCGAAGATGGGCGAATAGAGCGCGACTATCGCGGGCACACAGATTACGTACACTCTGTGGTTGGCAACTCGAATGGACAAATCTTTTCTGGAGCCGAGGATGGGACAGTACGATTTTGGAGCACCAAGCAACTAGAACAGACGTCAATGATAGAGCCGTACACAAAATCCCAGTTGCTTCGCCCCGATTGGGGAAAATGGATCGGTTCCGTGGCTGTCAATGACGACTGGCTGTTGTGTGGCGGAGGTCCACGAGCATCGATCTTCCACTTGCGGTCCTTGGAGTCCACCTGCGTGTTTGACTTTCCTGGACGTGTGCATGTGTGCGACTTTGTGGATGACAGCGTGTTTATCGGCGGCGAACACAATCACGTGCAGTCATACACCCTGAATGGAATGCTACAGGCCAATATTCCAATAGAGCACACTGCCTGCTATTCTACAGTGTGGCAAACGGCACCGATCAAGTTTATGTCCATCTGACCTAAGTCGTTGTCTGACGTATAGGATTTTCTAAAAGCAAAAGATCTGTCATTTTAGCTGAAAATACCGTTACAAGACCCTTTCCTGCTGTTCCTCCTGCTTCTCCTCCTCGACCTTCGTAAGTGTACACGTCAACGCACAATTATAATTATTATTATTAGATGCCGAGATACTTTTAGTGTTAAATACAGATAAAACTTACGTCACGCTGTAAGAAATGTACCCTAATTTCTTGAGATATGTCTTATTAGTTCAACGAACAAGAGCGTTGGCAGAGCTCAATAACTATCCTCGACGTAAGCTTTACTACCAACATTATTCTGGAAAACGCAGTCTCCATATGTCAGCGAGTCGTTTGGGCTAAGAGCAAAGAACTCCAGCATTTTTATAAAATTGCGTGAAATAATTTTTTCATCTGGGCGACGAATTGCTGGCACGAATGGAACGTTGAATATGAGGAAGACGTCGTCGCCGTGAACCGTACCTGTTGTAAAATGAAACACTTCAAAAGAGTTTTCAAAACTTTGAAATCGAACGTACCAAAGTTTACATCGGTGCGTCTAGAAAGAATCTGACCAACACCAAGTTCAGCCGGATTGTCGTAGACAAAAGCATACACTGGACTCTTTCCGTATTTTCGATGCAAATCCACAGCAACTTGCACGCTGTTTTTAAATAGAACATCAGTAAAAAGTCGTTGCAGATCCAAATAGCTTTCCACATTGAATCGTCGATCTCCCAGATACTCCTGCCTCAGTTTGCGGGAGCAATCGTCCATATCTTTGATCGTCGTCATTGAGTCACGGTAGAACAACAAATACGGAGCCCAATCAAACCACCGATCGTTAAGCTCCTCAATCAACTCCTGACCAGTAGACGACTGTTTTTCAAGAAGAAGAGCGGCGTTGTAACCTCCATCCTCAGTGGTATAGGACAAAGCCCAAGGAATTTGTGCAAACTTCCCGCTCTGAATAATATCGATAGGATGTTGGGTAATAAAGGCTTCTGGTGCATCTGCCGGTTCCACAACAGGCCCGAAAGGCGTAAACGGAACATATGAAAACACGAGGAAGCTACGGACAGCCGAGACTATTTCACTTGCGGACTTGGACTTCAAACATTTCTTGAGTTTCAGAGAGTCGCTTGTCTGTCCACAGCCCACAATGCGTCCCAGCTCAAAGGCACGTCCGCGACCACCTTGCTGAACCACCCATGGGTCCAGTGCATTTCCACTGAATGAGATTGCTGCCTTGGCCACATTTCTGAAATCCTCATGTAGCATCTGCAGATGAACGGATGCACCGCCTGCGGAGTGACCTATCACTAGAATGTTATCTGGTTCACCACCAAAGCTGGCTATGTTCTGCTTGATCCAGAGCAAGGCCAGGCGCTGATCCTTCAGGCCAAAGTTTCCGGACAGATTCGCGTCACCTGTGCTGGCAAAGCCCAAAGGCCCAAGACGGTAGCCTATTGTAACGAGTATGACATTGCCTTCGCTCATAATGTTTTCGTGTCCGTATTGTCTGGGTCCGCCGAACATGAAGGCGCCCCCATGAAAATTGGCCACTACTGGAAAGGTATTCCGACTGCTATTTTTTGGCCTATACACGTTTACGGTCAGACAGTCCTCAACGCCAAGTAGCTTATTGTCTCCATTAATGAACTGATTCCATTGCATGCAGAGTGCTGGTTCTTGGGTTGCATTAAATGCGTCCGACCACTGTTGCTTGTATGGTTGCGGAGCCTCAAATCTGAGGTCTCCAGTAGGGGGCTCAGCGTATGGAATTGACTCAAAACTGTAATAGTGTCCGTTATCGCGTCCGCGTAGTTTGCCATTGGGTATCTCAATTAGCAAGGAATCTATTGAGGATACTGATCCAGCCGGCTCTAACTGTATCCATAGCTGTATTAAGCAGATCAGCCATCTCACCAAGTACATGTTGAATATTCCCTTGAAACAGAACTGCGCAAAACCGAACACTTATACCTGTCTTTATAGTCGCTTTGTGCCTGAACAAATCGCTTAATAGCCAGACTCGTCATTCAAATATTTCGGGGGTGAAATGCATGTATAGTAATCGGCATTTCGCGTATTCTCGTATTTTTATTTATATTCAAGTTATAAAGAAGAGGAAAGGCCTGAAAGCCAACGCGCCGAAGTTCATATACCCTGCAGTGGGAAGTCCATACATCCTTCATTGGGAATTCCAGTAGTAATCACCTGCCTAAAGCTAAATCGGAGTTACATCTAATCTGTTCATATTCCAACGACAGCGTTGAAATCGACAACCCAAGGCCGATAGCGCTTAACTGATCTCATGGGAGCAATATCCGTTGAAACAGTGATACGGTTTCCGTATATTTTTGTTTTTAAACAAATAAATTACGTTTATTCAATTATCGAAAGTCCAATCGAATTAAAAGAACAAGTTACGAAGTGCTTATTGCACAATTAGTTGTCATCAAGTACAATCAATTGCTTGAACAGCGATATCCCGCTCCATTTCCTATCCCATGATAAAATTTATCTCGGAAACCGATCCATTTTACTTGTTGATTTTAGCCGTCCAGTCCGTTGCCCAGTGGCATCGTCTCTTCATGTTATTGTGCACTCATTAGCGACAGCTACTCTATCAATCCAACACCTGAAATAATATCAAGTCGATGGACATTCAAGTGTAGTATCAGGAGCGACTAAAACAAAAACCAAATCAATAAGGCAGTACAATTAATTCCATGCAACTGAAGCGGCCGCTCTGTGACGTCTGCGGAACTGCAGTCCCCTTTGGCTGTTCAATTTCAATTTCAATTTCTTAAGCGACACAACTTTTATACCCGGTACTCAGTTGGTATATGTATCTGTACCTTATTGTTTTTATACCCGGTACTCGAAGAGTAAATAGGGTATATTGTATTTGTGGGGAATAACGGATGTACGTAACGCATAGAAGGAAACGTTTCCGACCCCATAATGTATATATATTCGTGATCAGAATCAATAGCCGGTTCGATAGCGGTTCGATAGTGTCTGTTTGTCCGTCCGTCTTGTTGAGCACCTGGATCTCAGATTCTATAAAAGCTATAAGAGATTAAGGAGCGTGTTGGCGTGAGAAGTGATGTAGATGTAGATGACATAATTAGAAACAATTTAAAATTTGTAAAAATACCACTAAGGTACAGATGTCCTACTGACTACCCGGTTTAAAAGTTTACCTTTTATGTTCTTAAAAAAATGTTCGGTTGTGTAAGAAAGTGTAATGGCCCAAATCTATCACTAAAAGTTGATTTGGTTGTGGAACAAAAAAATATTGATTTTGACGAATAGTGCTACAAGTGCTCAATTCAGCCTCATTTAGTCTCACACTGAATCCCCATATCGAGGTATAGAGAGCAGTTGAAGTTTGCTGGTCATTGGTAATTTATTTGAAAATAAATGTACATATATAATTTTCCAAATGGAACTGCGGAAAGCTCTTCAGTTATAGGTTTCCGCACCCATTTCGAGTTATAGAGAGCAGTTGAATTTTGCTACTGTCTACATTATCCTGAAAAACGCAAGTGTCAAACGCAAGAGTACCATTTTCGCTAAGTATAAAGTCATTCAGCATCTTCAGAAAGTTCCTTGAAATTATTTTCTCATCTGATCGCAACTGAAACTCTCGAGCGCTATTTTCGAAAATTAAGAAATAGTCATCACCATGCACCGTTCCTGTAAAAAATACGTAATTAAAAAGTTATTATCATGTCCAATTAATCTGGACAAAGGAATTACCAAAATGAATGTCAGTGCGCTTTGCCAGTGCTTGGCCGATTCCTGCGTTGGCTGGATTGTCGTAGACAAATCCATAAACTGGACTCTTTCCGTGTTTTCGATAAAGATCCAGTACCTTCTCCGTTTCATTTTTAAACAGAACGTCAGTAAAAAGTCGTTGCAGATCCAAATAGCTTTCCACATTGAATCGTCGATCTCCCAGATACTCCTGCCTCAGTTTGCGTGAGCAATCGTCCATATCTTTGATCGTCGTCATTGAGTCACGGTAGAACAACAAATACGGAGCCCAATCAAACCACCGATCGTTAAGCTCCTCAATCAACTCCTGCCCAGTAGACGACTGTTTTTCAAGAAGAAGAGCGGCGTTGTAACCTCCATCCTCAGTGGTATAGGACAAAGCCCAAGGAATTTGTGCAAACTTCCCGCTCTGAATAATATCGATAGGATGTTGGGTAATAAAGGCTTCTGGTGCATCTGCCGGTTCCACAACAGGCCCGAAAGGCGTAAACGGAACATATGAAAACACGAGGAAGCTACGGACAGCCGAGACTATTTCACTTGCGGACTTGGACTTCAAACATTTCTTGAGTTTCAGAGAGTCGCTTGTCTGTCCACAGCCCACAATGCGTCCCAGCTCAAAGGCACGTCCGCGACCACCTTGCTGAACCACCCATGGGTCCAGTGCATTTCCACTGAATGAGATTGCTGCTTTGGCCACATTTCTGAAATCCTCATGTAGCATCTGCAGATGAACGGATGCACCGCCTGCGGAGTGACCTATCACTAGAATGTTATCTGGTTCACCACCGAAGCTGGCTATGTTCTGCTTGATCCAGAGCAAGGCCAGGCGCTGATCCTTCAGGCCAAAGTTTCCGGACAGATTCGCGTCACCAGTGCTGGCAAAGCCAAGAGGCCCAAGGCGGTAGCTTATCTTCACGAGAATGAGATTTCCATCGCTCATAAACCTATCATGGCCGTCTTCACTGGAGCCGCCGAACATGAAGGCCCCTCCATGTATGAAGGCCGCAACGGGAAAGCTTTTTCGACTGCTATTCTTCGGTTTATAAATGCTAACAGTCAGACAGTCCTCATCGCCAGCAAGCTTCAACAAAGGGAGATGCTTGACCCGGGTAACGTACGTGTTGTGACCGCCAACCCACCGTAGCTTTTACAGGCAGGTGACGACGAACATGCCAACGCCTCGAAGTTTAGACTCAAGAGGTCAGCCCCCGAGTCGTATCCCGTCTCTGAGCATCGATATCATTAACGGCAATAGCGCAGGCGCATCGAACGGTGAACCCTCAAGGTGATTCTCGCCTAGTCGACCTAGTGTCCGCCTGTTCCATTAGGTATCTCTTGGGTTGTCCTTATAGTTGGAACATAAGCATCTCATGTACAACGAGTGAGGCAGCGCTAGACTTTCTTTGATAAAACTCGACACTTTTGACACAGTAGAAAATAACGAACAGTCCGTTAGCCGAATAGCCGCCGAGCGGTGGACGGCTAGGTCGAGATCTCGCTAGCTAATGACGTGCGATATATTATAATGGGGATTTTGCATGCTTGGCGTCTGTAGTGACAAGAATCATTTAGGAACAGTAAATACCCATGTACATACATATGTACATAAGTATGTACATAATTTGTTATATATGTACATATGTACATGTAAAGAACAATAGCCATTCACATTTGCAACAGTCAATCAAATTGATGTGATTGTTCAAATCAATTTTTATCCACGCCTGCGGAGGGTATTATAATTTAATAAAAATATTTAAGAAAAATACACATGCTATGCGAGTATATCTTGATATACCTTTCTCTCCAGAATCCAAATACAGGGTATCTTGTTGTCGAGGCACCTGACCATATCGTAATCACTTGTTTGGTTTACTTATTACCTCAGTCAATTGAACAGCTGAACTAATGTTTTCGAGCGAATGAAAATATCCTCTTTCTGAAGGCAGCCCTTCTTTGTTCCTCTTATTATACCCATTTCAGTTTCACTTTCCCTAGTTTCACTTAAAAAAAATAGTTTTTGTTTAATTCTACCAAATGGCTGCACAACACGCTAATAGGCGCTTTTACTTGTTTTCAATTTATTTATTACAATTGTAGTTGCAGGTTTTTGCAGCCATCTCGGGTTATAGAAAGCAGTTGAGGTTGGATGCAGCCAATATTATCCTGCAAAACGCAGTTTCCATATGTCATAGTTCCGTTCTCGCTGATAACAAAGTCTTTTAACATATTAAGGAAGTTTCGTAAAATTATTTCCTCATCTGGTCGCATCTTAGGGCCTCGTGCAAGGTTTTCGAATATCAGGAAATACTCATCCCCATGGCACGTTCCTGTAAAATAGAAAATCGTCTGAACTCATTGTATTCCACTGTCTATAAGAGTCGTACCAAAATTAACATCAGTGCGTTTGGCTAAGAACTGGCCAACTCCTGTGTTGGCAGGATTGTCGTAGACAAACGCATACACTGGACTCTTTCCGTGTTTGCGATAAAGATCCAATGCCAGTTCCGTGCCATTTTTGAACAGAACGTCAGTAAAAAGCCGTTGCAGGTCCAAATATCTTTCCACACTGAATCGGCGATCTCCCATATACTCCTGCCTCAGTTCACGGGAGTAATCGTCCATATCCTTGATGGTCGACATTGAGTCACGGTAAAACAACAAATACGGCGCCCAGTCAAACCATCGATCATTAAGGTCAACTATCAATTCTCGGCCGTTTGAAGCTTGTTTTTCCAGCAGCACAGCTGCGTTGTAGCAACCATCCTCGGTGTTGTACGACACAGCCCAAGGAACCTGTGCAAACTTTCCGCTCTTAATAATATCGATAGGATGTTGGGTAATGAAGGCTTCTGGTGCATCTGCCGGTTCCACAACAGGACCGAAAGGCGTAAACGGAACATATGAAAACACGAGGAAGCTACTGACAGCCGAGACTATTTCACTTGCGGACTTGGACTTCAAACATTTCTTGAGTGTCACAGAGTCGCTTGCCTGTCCACAGCCGACAATACGGCCGAGTTCAAAGGCCCGCTCTCGTGCACTCCTCTGAATCACCCATGGATCTACAGCATTTCCTCCGAAAGAGATGGCTGCTCTGGCCACCTTGCTAAAGTCTTCAGTTAGCATCTGCAGATGAACGGAAGCACCGCCCGCTGAGTGCCCTATCACTAGAATGTTATCTGGTTCACCACCGAAGCTGGCTATGTTCTGCTTGATCCAGAGCAAGGCCAGGCGCTGATCCTTCAGGCCAAAGTTTCCGGGCAGATTCGCATCACCAGTGCTGGCAAAGCCCAGAGGCCCAAGGCGGTAGCTTATCTTCACGAGAATGAGATTTCCCTCGCGCATCATATTTTCGTGTCCATTTTGTCTGGCTTCGCCGAACATGAATGCGCCTCCGTGCATGTGGGCCACAACGGGAAAGCTGTTCCGGCTGCCATTCTTCGGTTTATAAATGCTAACAGTCAGACAGTCCTCATCGCCAGCCAGCTTGCTGTCTCCAAAGATAAACTGATTCCATTGCATGCACGTCACAGGGGGTTGTGTGGCATTGAAGGTGTCTGTCCACTGCTGCTTGTACGGTTGTGGAGCTTCAAATCTGAGTTCTCCGATGGGGGGCTCAGCGTATGGGAGTGACTCGTAGCTGTAATAGAAAATATTATCGCGTCCGCGTAGCTTTCCATAGTGAAGATCCACGAGCACAGGATCATCACGATCAATGGCACATGTGCTAAACCAAGAAAAACTCAGCAGGATGATCAATCTCGCAGCAAACATATCGCACACTTTGACTGGACAGGAACTAATTTAAGAAGTGGGAGTCGTGTTGGCTTTTATTGTTTGACGGCGCCTCGCCACCTGCTCAACTAATCTCAGGGGAGTTGGCGCACAATCGGTCGCTGCACGCTATGGGATTAGAAATTTCCGTGTTTTCACAGGTTTTTATTGTCCGTGGAATAACCATATTATTATTTTGGTTTGTACCTGTAAAATATACGGCATATAATAGCTCTTGTCGTGAACCTATAAATCTGTATTTGCATACTCTTTCGCTGGATATTATAATACTAGTCACGCTCTCTATAACTATGGTACAACACAATAAATGTATTGCAAAAATGAAGCTATTCTCCGATCTACAATTTGTTGAATGGGGTGCTATGATCTATTAAAAGCTGTTGGGTAACAATACAATTGATGATTCCCGGTTTCCCGCTGAGGCACAAATCGTACATTTTCCTTTATATATAAATTTATAGAAAATATAAAGTTTTTTGTGTCTGATCAAGAAACCTAGAAAGAGAATTAAAGCAGCGAGAAAATTATATATTTCGACGACTTGATTTGTTAAGCGATTTAGATTCTGTTTTACCTAAGTGTTTTCATGTATGTATATAATCTCTGTTATTATTAAATCACATTTAAACAGTGCGTGCTTCATGAATCTTTAACATTTGTGAGTGTCGCTACAACTAAAATTGTTTTACTGAGAGTTTCTCGTATTGAGAAATCGCAGGTTGTTACTTAAACAGTGGAATTTAGTAGCGAATTTGTTGTTATTTATAGCACTATTTAATTTACCAATCAAGATGCTAAATGATGACACCGCCCCTCCATCCATCTCACAATTTGTTACGTACTTTGCTGTTGCTCGAATTTTTACCGAACTCTTATTAGGGATCGTTTTATAAATATAATTACAGTGTACCTTCAATACTGGGTAATTCACTGTATATTGATTGAAATGCAACAGAATTACCACTGCCTTTGATGTATAAAGACGAAGGAGACGTGAGATGGTAAGACCAGCCATATTTTCCAGTCCAGAGAAGAAAGAAGTGGTTTGATATTATTTTATTTTAAACATAAATTTAATAGGATGTATATGTTTATTGTCAAATAAATATTTGGATACTCATACTCATGCATATGGATATGAGTACTCGTACTTCAGATATTCACAACAGCTGTTTCAACTGCAATAGCTATTAAAGGGATTACGTAACTAATGTTATTAAATTACATATTATAGTCAAACCAACAAAGATATACAAGTATTCTTTTAGAATTCCAAGACTCCTGGCAAATATTTGTCGATCAGAGTCTGATAGTAAGGCCACAAAGCCTCGATGTCTGGCACTACCTCGCTTTTGGTGTAAAGATCATAGCGACTGCAACGAATGATTTTCATTGCAGAAAAGACAAGATAAAAGAGAAAAGAGTAGTGCTACTCACTTAAAAATCAGCACCCATTTCTTGGTCTCCGCATCCTTGGGGGCCTCCAGGTGCTTGTAGTCTCCACCATTGTGCCAAGGATAGAACGAATGGAAGCGAATTATGTTGCATGCCACGTCGGGAAGCTTCGTTCTGTTGTGCTTGAGCACACTGTACATGTACTCGTCGTGGCCCCAAGACATGAGCAGGTTGTCCACACCGCAGTTGGGCTTGTAGATGCCATACTCAGTATTGTAGGATGTGTTGGCCCCGTCTGGATTTCCGACAAAGCTCTCGTCCCGATAGACGATGCTGTCTCCCCAACGGCAGCCCACAGCGAATGTGTCACCGACAACAGCCCACTGCGGCTCCCCGTAGAAGGCCATGATCTTTCCCAGATCGTGGATGAGTGCCGTCAGGTGCAACCAGTCGTGCTCCGGAAACTCGGCGCGTGCCCGCTCAGCCGCCTGGAAGGCGTGTATGATGTTGGGTAGATCCAGATCGGGATCGGATTCATCCACCAGATCATTAAGTTTCTCCAGAGCTTCGCGAACCGTCATTTGAATCGTATTGAACTGCAGCCAGTGATTCCGGCGACCTGCAGTGGGGCAGGAAACGATCAAAGATCGGGCTGAGACACACATTAATCCTACTTACCCTGGACGAAGTCCACCGTCTGATTTAGATGCATCTGACGATAGGTCTGACGCACGCGCTCCTTCAGGGGATCTGTGGTGTCCACACTGTAGTCACGGAACTTGGAGGGATTCTTGTCGGCAAACGTGGGCTCTGGCCGCATCAGCTCCGAAGGATCCAGCAAATGGACGTGATTCTGTGAATTACATTTAGCTTCGTTTAGATATATGGACTGCGGTTTCCTTCAAACCGAAAAAGTCTTACCTCCGCCAGGATTCTCATTTTAAAGAGATTTGATTGTTAGAATTTTAGACCAGAAGCTAAACAGTTCCGAACACTTGGACCACCGAAACGCTTTTGAGTCGCTGGCCGGACCGGCCGCACATTTTTATAGGCTGACGCCTACTGGTAATTAAACAGAATTCACAATCAAACCGATTCTATATAGTACTCGATTCTCTCTTCTACTATATTCGAAAATGATTTATAGTACTTTTGTTATTTTGAAAAACGAGAACCGTCTGCTCCCCGCCCGATCCGCCGCGATCCGTTCAGTTCCGTTCTCCTCTCCCATTCAGCTATCAACATTCGTACCTCCGCCTGATGCTTAGCTCGCTCTTGCCCCTGTGGGGGATGCAGGGCTCTTCAGTGATAAGCCACGAGCCTTCCTCGTATTACATTTGGTTTCATAGGCTGTTATCAGACGTCTGAGCCGCCTACGCTCCCACGCCCCTTATCTGGCGGTCCACGAGTCCCCCATGCAACAAATGCATAAAACTGCGAGTTGCACTTGACTGATTACGTCGTGGCATGCCAGATACACAAGGACGACTCATACTCACATACTTATATACATGTGCATGTTCATGTAGCAATGTAGCATGTTCTGTAGGAAGTGCAGGGCCATTGTATTGAATAACGTGATTTAGTGATTAACTGATTGTTAAGGCCGTTGTGAAAGAGCTCATTGAGTGATTTGCTTTACCTATGGAAAAGTATTACATGAGCATTATCCAATCGTTTATCAATTATTTAGGAGTTTTTAATGTAGTTACATGGATCCGATGATGTTTAGGAGACTTCCGCTTATAACTGAGTGCAAGATAGTGATTTGTGTTGTGATGCGTTGTGATGACAGCTTAGAACGATACCAGTCCATGTCTAAGACTGAGACAAATAGGTGAAGTGTCAAGTAAGAAGGCTGAAAAGCAAGCTCCGATAGCTCTCCGACCTTGAACAACCGCCAGGAAAGCAGCATACAAATTGGCAAAAGCCAACGTCCCAGATCCAGCGTACGATCCATGCGGACGTCTAAAAGTAGCAACAACGCCTCGCAATCTGGGTACACAGTCATCAAGCGCAGAAATAATGTGCCATCAAGGGGGGGATTGCCTGAGAAAAGTTATCAGTCGTCTACATGACGTCGATCCGATCCGATCTGTTCCGTTCCGTTCCGATCCCCGGTCTCACACACGCCACAAGTGCCAACTACAACTTGAGATTTCACACTGCCTCTGCCCACGAATGAGCGGACTGATCGTAGCCACTTTGATTGTGCTGGATTTGGATGTGGGTCTCGGCCTGAGATAGAACTGGACATGGGCCTTAGCTTGAGGGGCTTGTTCATGTTTCAACAAGGCGTAGTATCACAGTTCGTCACCATCGCCGTGGCGTCAAAGGTCAAAATGTAACGATCGAGAGTGGTTGGTTGTCAATAAACCTTATCAAATATTATTAGAGGTACCCAAGAATGAACATATACTCGTACATGTTTAGTATGGAGCGCTGGGGGGAAGCTAGAAGGCAATGGAAAAGTTTCATAATATTTGTATTTGACGCCGACCGTGATGCTGATGCAGTCATCAATTAGGTCCGGACGTGCGAGATCTTAAAATGCAATCACGGAATGTACGGAATGCACGGAAGGCATGAAGTCCAAGCTGTCCAAGCTGAACATTTTCATATTTTTATGAACTGCTAGCAGTGAATCGGTTTCCAATTGTGTTAATTGTGTCTGGATATGCCCTTGGTTCATTGACGGCCATTCGGCCAAGTTCTAAGCTAAAAAAGTTAAATTTCTCTTTTACCAACAGTCCATTAATCATGAAGCATGACATTATAATTTAAAAAGCGTCCAAATATAGCCTGGGGGTCATAAGTACTTATAGTTTGGGGGCACAAGGACAAAGTCGCCAGACGCTAAATGGAGCCTAATGACAAACAACGATGATCAATCCGTTTTCCAACTACAGTGAACACCGCCCACAGATGGCTGGGTTTCTGCACAAATTCGATGTGAATCACTTCAATGCAACTTAGCGGTTGCCCACAGTCCCTACTACGGGCCACAAGTCATTTTCATTAATCACTTTCGTGAGCTCGACTTTCGCCAGACAAACTCTTCGGACTTCAAATTCAAAAGTAATATTTTGCTGATAGATTTGTGCACATGTTTGCCATAATTCATTCGATTCCCGGGACAGCTGGGGTCAGCGAGCCAAGCAATAATACTCTCGTCCTCCTGCTCGTGATACATCTGATACGATTAGTTGAATGCGTCAAATATACAAACGTACACTGCTTCTAGGTGAATGTACCGTTTTTTGGACATAAACCAGCTATCGAAAGTTCAATAAGTCTACGTTTACGCACAAGATATACCCGACTTAGGTATTTTTGGTGTTGGCGACTTTTTCAAGTATGCGAAGTTTATTGAGCAGCTTAAAAGTGTGCATCACTTTATTCAATCTCATGTAAAAACTGTGTATAATTTGCATATAAAAGTTTGAAAATATTCCTGACCTGCACAGCTTCCTGTTACTCATGGATTTTCGTTTACTTTGGTTTTGGCCCATTAAGTGTAGCTTCCTGCCAGCTCCCGTTTTTTGGATTGTTATTTGTTTTATATGCGTTAAAGCAGCTTAATTTAGTTTAAGTTACTAAAGTTTGGTAATAATTAACACAAATGAATTACGAGCGAGGTCTGAATCTCATTAGCTTTTAATATAGTAAGTTGAAAATAAAAGATTTAGATTACAGCCATTCAGCAAAGTTATATTTAAATAAAAAATACATTTAATTATTGATTAACGTTTACAAAGTTAAAAGCTTAAGGGTACACAAAAATAAAGCGTTTAAAATCACATGTGCAATACCATATTAATAATAGCATAATAATCGACGGACAGCGCTCCAAGTTACAGTCCCCCGTCAACTATGACGAGTGCTGAATAAATCAAGAATAGATATCGTGCGAGCCGAAGCTTCTGTTCATTTTGGTTGAATGGTTTGTCCGTTTGTCTAGCAGTTCGTCCACTGATAAATACGATGGGTAATACGATGGCTTGACCTGACGGCAGCCAGCGGCTCGAGGAAATTAGTGATTGCCATGTTTGAAGAGCAAACAGAGCAGCGAGCGGGACATGTAAACTACAGCGCTTAATTAGAGCCTAGACACGTACAATACATTTAACAAAAACCTCGCGTTTTCCCGCCGCAGCGCTCCAATTAAAAGCCGCTGAAAGCCGAGGCCTTAAGCAGCGCCGCAAGGCCACATGAGCTTAGTAGGACTGCAGGGGAATAGGACCACCTCCTTTCGCCAGTGTTGGCCGCGTCAACAAAGGGAATAGCGCTCTGGTTGAATATTTTCATCGGCTCAAGCACACTCCTGTACACCTTGCGATCGTTGAGCGGTTGGATGGGTCGGAAATTGTTGTTCAAGTGCTCATCGTTGGCCGTGAGCTGGCGGAAGGCGTTGAGCTGAGGATAAAAAATGGATAATCGTCTTTCATGAGGGGCTTCGGATGGGATTATGATGACTCACCTGCTTCTCAGTTATATCGATCGGCTCCATGAAGTCAATCCAGATGACATCTTCGCTGCACGGCGGAGTTGTCAGCGAGCCCACGTAGGTATAGTAGTTCAGCAGGTCCAATGAAAGGTAACTGTGCAGGGGCATAGGGTTGGTGATATTAACCGACATGCCTTTTCTGCCTATTTTGGCGAGCTGCTCTGTAAACTTCTCGTAACTCTCAGTGCCCTCTCTTCTGACCTAAAAAAATATAAAAGATGTTAAACCTTGAAGGTTCTACACCACCTGATGAGATTCTAACCTGAAAGAAGAATGCCATCACGGCAAGTCCATGATCCTTGCCGAGGGCACTTTCAAAGTCTGGGTACTCCAGATTACGTAGCACCACATGTAGTTCGGCGGGATAGGCGTGGTTATCTATCAGATCCTCACTGCCCACTGTATCGTTCTCGCCCCAGTGGAAGTGAAACTGCTCGAACTGATAGCCGGTATAGGGTGCCTGTTCGGCTAGAGGCCCGCCTCGGACACGCGGCTCCTTGCCATCCTCAAAGCTCATTCTCACCAGCACCGTGTGGCCGTTGTTCATCATGTGGATGGCTTTCGGCGAAACCATGGAGTTGAAAAACTCCAGCGGGGGATACTCCTTTTCCTCTACGTTGACCAAATCAATGTTTATGGGACTCTGCTGTTTGCCACTGCAGCGGTTGTAGTCCTCGCTCCAGTGCTCTGGTCCATGTTTCCCTCCATATCCAAAGTCTTGAGCCAGGCCAGACGACGCTGCAGGGAGAGAGGAGCATACGCAAGCCGAGACTGTTGTTAATCGATCTCCCTCAGGTGTTAATTGCTTTGGCACTCGATTCCGAATCGGTGACATCGTTTGTGTCTGTGCCGGTGCCGACAGTCTGGATTGAGATGCTTTGTTTGATCAAGCTATCTATGAAAGCGACATCTATTTTTGATAGCGGGGAAAGCTAAAAATACCCTTATGTTGGTCCTACCTCTCAAAAGTCTCAACTCAATTCGCACTATACATTTATGAACACATCGATGTGCTCTGGCTATCGTCAGAGTGTATCAGGTGCTCCCAGATCAAACACCGGTCCACACGTAATTGCACGTTTAATTAGCATTAATCGAGCAACAATTATCCATGTAAAGTTTGTTGAGTTTCTCAGCCGAGAAATATTCCATTACTAGGCTAGGGTAAAAACTGACTTGTCTGCGTGTCTGTCTGTCAATTTGTCTAGGGGGAAATGCTTTAAAAAACATGATCTGTCTTATTTACAAATTTGCATATTAATAGCTTAAGATTATTTTTGTACGAGTCTGATATATTAACAACTAATTTGTGGGCTAAAAAAAAATCCTAACAAAATTAGCATAGCTCTGAAACTGAATTATCTGTCATTAGCATTGGTGTGTTTTTAAATGCCAGACAAGTTACAAATTTACGTAAATAATGAACTAATTGATTTTGGCCAGCTGGCTTGTTTAGTATTTTGAACCACAAATTAGCAAAACATTGCGGCGAAATTAAATTAAATAACATAGAATAAGTGGATCACAGCGAAAATTAAACAAGTGCGACCAGGGCAATCGGAAATCATGCGTGATTAATGTGAATGGGGCGGAACCGTCCAGAAAATCAGACGAACATGCTGAAGCTTAAAGATCAGTCAGGTGACCAGACATAAATTAAATTTCGTATCGCAGACATGTCCAGACTTCTGACGATGTGATAGTCATATAATTTTCACCTGGTTGCGTTGAAATATTACGGAGATAATCGTTGGCCACAACTTATACTTGGAAACATAGTAAAATGTTCAATAACTACCCGATAAGCTAATTAATGAATGAGAAACTCATAAACCGATTCGCACCAATTCGCATTTCCCTTATTCATTCATTGATTCATTTATTAGCTAGTCTAGGGACATCACTACTCGGGGTAATATTCAAATATTTTAATAACTCAATTACTAAGAAACTTTCACAGAATCGATATCAGAGTGTTTGTGCTAGATTGATCTGTTTATTTAACGCAATTTAATCGTGTGTTTGTTATCTTCCGGTTTGCTCACCATAGGCCAAGATCAGAGCAAAGCCCATTGCTGTAGTAGTGGGGTTACACCTCCACATAGTTCAGATTCGATTCACTTTTGAGAGACACTTGCCGCCTTATCGGGCTGTCGGACTCACTGAGCACTGCCTTTGTCACCTTGTAAATTACAGTAACTATTTAAGGCCTGCAGCTTTTCGACGGTATTTGTGTCTATTGTCTGTTTGCTGTGCCCGGTTCGTGCTCACCCGCCAAGTGCGGTCACACAACTGTGGTTAGGGTCGGAGCGGTGTCTAAACTTATATCACTTCGCCCGAGCTTGTCTCGTGCTGATTGCTTCTGTTGTCCTCTCTTTCTGCTCGATGTGGCCCAGTGGTACTTCCAATTCCACTTAAATGTATTCCCGAATTGGCTCCGTCGTCGGGAGAGTTCCACTTGGCCATCGACGCACTCAGCGCTGCCCCCCCCCCCCCCCCCCCCCCCCCCCCCCCACCTCCTGGTGGTGGGCAAGTTTCGGTGGGGGTTAATCAAAAGGAAGTCGAAAATTCGAATGGTTTGCCACTACGCGGCTTCACACTGCCCTACTCTGAGACGGAGTATAACTGATAATCAATTCTTGAAATATACATACATGCGTACATACATATATTACTGGAACGGTATAATTTTCGGTGTTTGTTCTTCTTCCACATTTTACACACAGATTTTGCAGCTTCTTCATCATGTGATATCCTGTACACAGGTTGCTTTTAATTCCACCACTAGTTTAACTTAAGATTGAACTTATTTTCTGGTTATGTCTGTCTATGTATATGTCCACTTATCCAAAGCACGAATGCTATTATTCATAGCGCTGTTAATTCTTCCTGCAACATAATTATTGACATAATTAACTATTAGTTGGATATACCCACTCTCAATGCGGGGTACACTAATGTAAGCTCTCAAGCATTGTCATTGTTCCGTTATATTTATTCGTTCTCTTCTGTATATGCTTCTCTTATTGCATTACAGCATTGCCATATTTAAGCAAGCTATTGCCATTGAGTAGGGTATAAGATATAAAATTAAATCGCATTTAATATGCTAAACATATTCTTTTTAATCCTGAAGGTAAACAAATCAATTAGAATGTCAAACTAGAGTGTATTTATACAACCTTTATGGAAAAAAAGTGTGTGCAGCATTCGCTGAGGAGAAACACGAACTTGTTTCTTGGCGAATGACTAATTGTGTGCGTGAGGGGAAGTAAATGTCGAACGTAAAGTTCGATGACGAAGACGAAGGCGATGATGATGACACACTTGGGGACAGCTGGTGGCGAAAGCGAACACTGTAAAGTCGGATGCCAAATGCCAATAGTGCACGAGCGCGACTGTGGGAGACCCTTGAGAGAGAGTGGGGTCTTGAGTGGACTGGGTGGCAAAACCGCAGGTACAGTCCGATCTCTGTGTCCGATCATTGACGGGGTCGTGAGAGCTTATCTCATGTTTATGGAGCTGTACGTGTACTACTATATCTGAGCGATACTTAGGTTGATTGCTTTGCTGTTTATCTTGGCATCACATGTCGCAGCCACAAATCGCAACGCTATTGAAATGTACTATGTATGCTTAATGGAATTACTGTTGCATGGTAATCGGTGCAGTGCAGTGCGGCCTGTTTGCATTGCATTTCCCCCGGGAAATTAAATATTAACAATACAGACTGCCTTTCATTGCAGTTTGAGGTGATCAATAAACCATTTGTATTACCAATTGGACAACAGATAGCATGCCTAATAGTGGCTCCCGTATGGCTTTATGAACATTGTCTATGCAGATTGCTCTGATCTGGGGGAATTTTTCCGCTGACCCACTCACCGGATTGACTCATCTTGAAGCCCGTTTTTGGCAATGGAAACTTTTTCATTTTGCCACTTTCATTGTAGTAAACTCTGACGTACTGGGGCGTGAGCTGGGCGTTTATTAAAACGACCTCCAAGACATGTCAAGCGAGAGCGAGCATAAAGTCTAGTTCCGCGAACAAACACAAACTACAATCTATGTACTACAATCTGGAAAAGTTTCTCAGAGAACACTTACGCGTTTGCCAGCCTTATAATACACGACTCTTTTTGTATTCTTATTTTTTTGCAGGTCTCTAATTACTTTGTTTGGGACAGAGGGATGAGGGACTACGAAGAGTCGGATACCGAGAGAGTAAGTGCTTTTTTCTGGCTTTGAGTTCTTAACTAAAAACAAAATTCATACAAATGTACATATACTACTACTACACTATATATATACGTATATACATATGTATGTATGCACTGTCGGTAGCCTGCGGTGAATGCGTAAATGTTTTATAATTCGGTGACACAAAGTAGAACTTTTAATATCTAACCATAGGAAGACGGCACACGACGAATTTTTGTTCGTAATGGAGGTTAAATATGTTTTTATACCCGGTACTCGAAGAGTAAATAGGGTATATTGTATTTATGTGAATAACGGTTGTATGTAAAGCACAGATATACACATATATTCTTGATCAGCATCAATAGCCGAGTCGATAGAACCATGTCTGTCTGTCCGTCTGTCTGTCCGATCGTCTTGTTTGTCGGCTAGTTCTCAGAGACTATAAGAGCTAGAGCCACCAAATTTTGCCTCCGGACTGCTGTATGCTCACACTGAAACCAGTGTATTTCAAAAATTAGCCCCGCCCCCTTTCGCCTCCGCAAAAGGGCGAAACCTTCCAAACCTTCAGTTTTGAAGATAAAAGAAAACTAAAAACGCAATTCCGTAGGGAATGACCATATCTATCAGATCACCAAATTGGGATCCGATTGTATAATTATTATAGCCAGAATAAAGAAATTAATTTGCAGTGGCTAAACCCACCCTGTCCCGCAGCTTTTGTTGTTCTTTTCACATTCTTTCATTCACACTCTGCTTCTGCTTCACTTGGCCTCTACCTCTGCCGTCCCTCTGCCTCTGCCGACTTTTAACCCACCCCGTCCCGCAGCTTATTTTTGTTTTTTTTTTGTGTGCGGGCGCTTCCTCTGCCGCGAGTGTGGGTCTAGGGAAGGGCGGTGAGCTAAAGGAGCGTGTTGGTGTGAGTAGTGTTGTTTATGTAGATGACAGATGAAGAAAAAATGTAAAATTTGACAAATAACCACTAAGGTGCAGAAGTAGTACTGAGTGCCGGGTATAAAAGTTGTGACGCGTAAGAAGCGTCTCACACGTCCCTTCTCCTTTAATTCCCCTCTGATTGCAAAGCCTTTGCTTTGCCTAGATTTAACCGGACCGAAGCAAACCAAAACCACTTGGATACGAAATAAATGCACAAAAATGAGTAATTTGCCGAAATGTAAAAAGTCGCAGCACAAATAGTTGTTCGGAGCATTAGGAGAAACCGTGATTGCGGATAGATATACATACATTCATAGATACGGATAGCGAGGAATGGGTTGGTGCTGAGTAATCTACAGAGAGAGCCAGTTCTGAACAAAGCTCCCGACAATAATCCCAGCGTCTGTTCACATCTACATACATCCACATCAATAATCATTCTAATAAGACTTGTTGGCATTTGCCATGGGACAGGGGCAGCCTTTATTCATATTTATTTTTAATTAAAGTGCAACTGCCGACGAGCTGCGGCTGCCTTTACTCAATTTACGGCTGAAAGTGGTTCAGGAGAGTGCCCCGACCAGGAAAGGTTGGCAGTTTGTCGTCGTAGCTCAAACTATTTGTTGTCGCGGTCTCCAAAAACCATACTCTACGGCGTTTATGCATTGTGGAAATGTGCGTCAGAAATCACTCTATTATCGGCATTCCGACTTCGCCATGAACATAGAATCACAGAAGTACTTTCAATAATGCAGCGTAACTTGTCCAACTAGTGGCACAGTGGCACGCGCGACTTCAACCCAAATAAGACGGATATAATCACCCATAAACACACACATTTGTATCAATGGTCCATGCCCTGGCATGTCGTCCATTAGAGCATCACAAGTGCTAAGCCAATGACTGTTTCTGGTAGAGCGTACTTCGCTAACCAAGTTGGGGCATCCTTTGCCGCCGACAGATGACATGTGAAACACAGAACAAGCATGTGGATGCGGTGGGCTTTAAGAGCGCAGAGCACTCATCATATCTCTCTCTCTCTCTCTCTGTTGCCACACACTCTCTCTCTCGATGCTTTGCAGCTACCAACTGGCTGCACGACGGAGGATGCCACTGCCTCCGACAAGCAACAATTTTCATTGATAAAAACGCCTGCTGCCGGATCCCGTGGCTCAGTCGTACGCGAGCCTTCAGTCAGTCCGTGCCGAATTCGGGGGAAGTCCTTTTTTGATTCTGACAAGACGGTCTTTTCGGTGGATTTCCGTGTGCAGGACCCTCTGACTTAATTAAAAATTGCATACACGCGGCGTGTCAACAAGTTAATGTTCTGTATAAGCAGCTCACAGCGGCTTACGAAGCCACAAACAAACTGCTTAAGCTCCTTAAAAAATTCACGATTCAGCATTATTTTACCGAATAAACAGTTGAAATTGCAGCAAAGTTTTGCGTCCAATTGGCGCCACTCCACAGTCGAAGTTGCTAAACTTTAGCTCTTCCCGATGATAAATTGTTAAGGAACTTTTTGCGAGTTTTCTTTTTCGGGACCAAGTGGCAATTGAAATGACAATTTTGCAATCAGATAACATTTACTTCCGGGAAAGTTATAGTGCTTCTGCTTTGGTAACGCAAATAAGAATAGAGTAAATAGATTTAGTATCCTCTGCGATACGAAAAGACTGCACATTAAATCCAAAAGGTGAGCAGAGTCCCTGACTTGATTTACTTGAGCACACATCCGCTTCACATCAATCAAATAAATACACTGACAAAAAAAGATGTAAAGAATTTAACGCATAAATAAATCGGTAAATAAAAATAGTTTCAATGTAAAAAGGCGAAACTTTTGTACATTTTTCTCTCATTTACCAGATGAATTTAATCAGAAACATGATTATAATGGTTGTCATGTGTATATAATAGGGATAACATGTTGATTGCGAAATTGAGGTCCTGTCTTGCTGTCAAGGTCAGTATATTAATTCAACGATTTTTTTCAAAAATCGCATTAGGTAGTTTGGAAATGTTGCAATGACGACCCAGAATCCAGTCAAGCCGAGTTTTTAATTCAGGTGACATGAGAGGGACTATCCATGTTGCTTTTATTATCTCTAGATATGCTGCTTGAGACTTGCTTGCCACTACAACAGCAGAATTTCAGATTTCAACTAATTTAATCTCTTTGTTTTCGTTAACGAAACTTTAAGTAAAATCTGTATTAGAATTGGCATTCGTTTTCTGCGTGAAATAAAACTATTTAATATATATTTTGTTCTAAC